TGGAAGTCAGTGCTGTTGGCCACGCGGCGATTGGCTGTGCTGAGCTAGCTAGCTAGCTACCTGGGTTGGGCAGCCGAACGGACGTTGCCAATGCTCGTTGTCGACGTAGCTTACCACAAAACAGCGAGCCACATTGCAGATCTATGCAACTTGGCTTGAACACTGTTCATCACCGGCGCTTGACTAGCCGGCCATATAGCCGGGCGGTGGCGGCAACAATGGCGGCTTTTGCGCGACGGTCGACACAAAAGCTCTCGGTTGGCATCGGACCATGTTCCCATTTGATTCTCGTCCGGTCACAACGCATGCAACTACTTACTGTTAGTTCAGCTAGTGCATGGCGTCAACTCACATATATTTAGCGGGACCACGATTAGTTAAGCGAACGACTTAACGAGAAATGTAGAGATCATAGAGGATGCTGGAAAGCAAGCGAGACTCCAGCCCCGAGGTTCGGAAACCAGTTGGCTTCGAGAGCTTGCGGAACTTTTGATATACTAAGACGGAGATGAGCTTCTAGGTTCTTAGGCTCGGCGATCGAGCGCCCAAGTGTCCCTTGAGATCCTCCTTCAGCACCGGAGCACCAGGATCGAGGAAACCTCAAGATGTTCCTGAAAAAATCGCCGGGAGAGCTGGACCCCCGGATCCCGATCCCTACGTCTGCGAGTCGTGACTAGGGATGTCAGCGGTTCTAGAGCCGCGGTTCTGGAACCGCGAGAACCGCAGATTTTCTGCGATTCCAGAACCGCAAGAACCGCTCTTTTTTGCGGTTCTAGAACCGCAAGAACCGCTTCGGGCAGAAGCTGATTTCGGGACCGGATCAAGAGCGACATTTTCGTAAGTATTGGTACGCAGGCCTATGGATATATCGATGGTCTTCGACGTATCAGCCGGGGATCCTTCGCGGCGCGCAGAGCGAGGCTACGTGCACCCGAAGTGCGAAGAGATACGTTGGCGAGAGCGGGGAAAAGTGTTTGGCAGCTGCCTTTGTTTGTTGTGGGTCGTGGAGGCCACCAGTGGTTCCCTGCTTGAGATTGAGAAACCGTCGGACGCATCGGATTAGTCCCGATAAACCTAGGGAAGACATCGTTCGAGAATTTCACGTGAAAAGTAGATGTTGCGAACAATAGCAAGTTCTGAGTTTGTGCCTTTCAAGGATGGAAATCGTGAATAAAGACGATCATCGTCTCCATCCTATAGCATCTCTTCCTTTCGAATTTGATAAGTACTGCGATTCGATAGCTCCGTGACGTCGATCAGGACGGGGTTGAGGCCTCTAACTCCTCTATCTCCTCACTTCGTGCCGCAAGATTTTATCGGCTGTTCCGCCAACCTCGGTCCGGCCGGAGAGGTAGGCTCATAAGGTAAGAGCGCGATTTTAGTATTGTTCGCCTGCTATTAGGAGAGAACCACGCGAGGCTGAGACCGAGCACGCTGGACTGCGGAAAGCATACGAATACGAAGGCTTGTGAAATGTGCGGAAGGAATCAAGTTCGGGCCGAATAGTGTGGCTTGAATCGTCATGAAATTCATTGAAAGAGACTTCATCCTAGGAGCGATACATTTTGCTATTCATTCACGCACGGACATCTCCTCTGAGGAGGCGAGAGCGTCGAAAATTTGCTGAGAAACAGTAGAAACCATTTGGTAGCTGAATCGCGGTTCTTTGCGGTTTTTAACCGCGGTTCTCCTGGCGCGGTTCTCAGAGAACCGCGAACCGCGGTTCGCAAAACACGCGGTTCTTTGACATGCCTAGTCGTGACCCATTGCCTGCTTCCCCATGCATCATGAATCATGAAGTATGTGAATTTTCTTGATCGAAAATCACCATCGTCTTCAGGAATCATCGACGATTTCCATGCGAAATGGATAAATACATAATTGATTGAAAACAGGTGGGTTGTAAAGTGTTCATCCGTATCACCGTGCCTCTGAGGCCTGGTTTAATTGTACATTTTATTTGCAATCCATTTCCAGTTCAGTTTTGTTACGGTCCAGTTCATCAAAACGTACAAGAAGGAGGAGTAGAAGTAGAAGAAATAACAGTGGAACAATCGAACGACCATCATATGCGTAACGTTTTGAGCTGATTTTTCCCTTGAGCCAGAACTCGTTCTAAAATTAGCCGAGTAGGCAATTCACACGGACCAATCGGTAAATCAATGGGAATTTCAATCGGATATCGTAGCAAATACAGAGCTCGGAAAGGAAACTATTCCGCGTTTCTCGTTGGCGTCCTCATGTTCAGCTGTTGTGGAAATCCGCCGCGTCGTCATCGTCTGTGAGGAGGTGGTTTCGTTTTTCGATGCGCCCTCCGTCAAAAGGCGACGGAGTCAAGCATTCAGGTTGGCGTTACACAAAAAAATAACATAACTAACACAGGAGGCGCTCTCACGAGCGACCCCTTTTCGCCCTCTTACATTCTAGGTATGCTCACCGCTGCTCCCATGAAATTCCGTCTGTTCAACTCTAACAAAATCATCGCCATCTACGCAAATATCCAGCAGCATCACCTCCTCGGTAATTAAGGCTGTCCGATAATACAGTATCGATGCTAATCCATGCTCGAGAACCCTACATCTCCTTCATCATCATCGTCGTCACCTCCTGCCGAATTCTCTCCCATCGTCATCATCGTATCGTAGTGGTAATGATAATCATCTTAACCATGGAGTCAACCGCTCGTTGACCAACAAAATCCCGGAGCCTTACATCCGTAATAATTCAACGACGTCGAACGTAAAGTCCGAATGAAAAGAAGAAGAAAGAGGAAAAAAAAGTAAAACGGAACTGTCTCATCGACTACATCGGGTACAGTATTGCTCTTAGCGCCAAAGACGGACAACGTTTCTTTGCGGGTCGGGTACATTTTTTTGTAGCTCGGGCTTTTGTCGTTTTCTCTGTGTTTCTGACATCATGTTCGCCGCCGTCGTCTCCTCATCTCTCTCTCCGGTCGAGTTTCTCACTTTGTTTGTTTTTTGTGTTTTTAGAAATTTTCGTAAACAAATATCCTTGCGTCTCGTAGCATCATCTCATCTGTATATGAAAAATATGAAATATCATTCTCGCTGCTGCGTAAACTTCATCATCATCATCTGCTCTCTGCGTGTGAATATAGCTCTGTTCGTCGTTTGACTGTTCCGTGTGTTACGCCTCGCGTCGCGCCCTTCCTGGACCCTGATCGAACTCTGCCTCCCTCAAGAAATCTCTCGACTGGGTGAAAGTTGGGATATAGTGTTTTGACTCGGTTCAAGCGAACCATCAGAAGTATTTCTCGCATTTTAATCATTCCATATGAACTAGATTTGTTCAATAAATGAGGCCTGAGTTCGGACAAGAGAGGCAGGGAACAGCGATGGCGACAACGTCGAGGGAAGGCACGACTAGTCGTGGGTTTGAGATGTCACCAGTTTCGAATGGCTGCCTTCGTTCTACTCATCGAGAAAAAAAAACACATCTCCCATCGACCGTTTCACGCCGGTCTAGGGAGCGTTTGAGCCTATTCTCGATCCAAATGAAGACTCTGGATATCGTGATCCTCATCACCGTTCTCTCCATTATTTTGTGGTGGAGGTGGAAATGTTTTCCTTCTCTCTCCTCCTCTCGTTCTCGTTGCTGAAATTCCACTCGGAACTGACGTTGTGGTTGCTCATTGCGAACTTTGAAACGATGCCTCATCATCGTCAGGCATCAATATTGGCGAAACATCTCAAGAGACGTCGCTCGCGACCGGAGCCACCGCGACCCATCGGTCCCCCGACCGCGGTCCGTATCCGAGCTGCGATAGTCATCGCTGTCATGACGACAGCGACACCTATCGCAATCGAAGCCATCTCAGTCGCTCAACCGACTGTGGGAGCGGTGAGTTCCGGTCGCGAACTCGGAGGGCTCGAGAACGAGGGGCAGGAGAGAGAAGGAAAAAGCTGATGAGACGGATGAAAATAGACAATTCGTCCATCTCGGGCTGGCCAATAACCGGGGCTGTTCCGTCCTTATTGTGTCAAAGCTATCATGGCCGCCGCACCCTACCACCACCGCGGCTTACCCGACCTTACCACCGGCGGTATGCTTCGCTCGCTCTACCTAATTGATAACCACCTTTCGAGGGCTTTCAGCAACACCCTCACTCCTCTCGCCCGCTGGATGAGACTCCAAACGGAGAATGTCTTTCACATGCGCCTTCCGCCGGGGCCCTCGCAGGAGCTTTCGCATAGAAACCCTTCTCTCATTTTCTTCCGTTTGTTTCCGTCTCGCATTCCTTGCCTGCTGCATTCCTTGTTGCTGTTGATGTGCTTCGCTTCTTTATCACTCGATGCGTTCGAAAGAGTTCGGTCGCTGTACTTTAATTGTCCATCACTCGAGTTTCTCTTTTTTGTCGTATGCACGTTTTTTTTCTCCTTTCTGTCGGAAGAGGAGCAAAATTTTCCACCACAATGTACGTTTTTGCCGATCGTTCGTCCACGCAGGATGCTATCGCAGTTCCTTGTATGATTCACATTTTTCTTTTCAATCTCCATCATCAGTCCTTGCTTGGTGCTTCACTGTTCGCCGGTTAGGCAGCTTCGTCAGGTTGTCCTTTTCTTGTCCAGATTTCGCTCGGTTTCGTCGGAGGAAGATTATTTCACTTGTCCGGTCGTTCCGTCCGTCGTGGATTCATGTAACGTAGGAACTGCTGCACTGAGACGAGAATTTCCGGGAGGGGGAGGAAAAGTCGAGACGAATATATCGACCGAACAACAAGTGGTTGTCGACAGCAGCAGCGACGACGACGGCGGCGACGAAATCTTCTGCTTGACCCGTAGCGAAGTGACTGCCTGTTGCTGGACGAAATCCAAGAGCACTCGAAGTTTTTTTCCCCGGTGGGCATTGATGCTCGTGTCCGTCTGTTACCTTTCTCTCACACTGTGCTTTTCTTTGAGAAAAAGAGATTTGTTGCATATTTCCACTCGATTGTGTCACCATTCGGACGAGCGAGCACCATTGCCTTGAACGCCAATCAAGTCGACGGAAGATGAGAATTCAACCGAATTGCTCAAGCAGTCAGTCAGTCAGGCAGACAGGCAGCGGTGACCGCAGTGTCGCCGTCACCGCTGCTGTTGATATGACGTTGATGAGTTGTTGTTGTGGCGGTAGGAGTAGCAGTGTTGTGGCCGTCGTTATTGCTGTCGCTGTTGTTGCTCTCGTCGAGTCTTTTGGCGTCGATGTCGAAGAGTACTATAACTAGAGTTGGAACATCCTGCGTGGACTGAATGCGGCTATCACAGTTAAACTGGAGGGGTTGCCGTGGCGGAATCACCGTTGCTTCCCAGAGAAAGGGATTTGAGACGACGACGTCTCGCCAAAGCTGAGTCGCCCGGAGGAGATAAGTCCATGATACATGGCTCCGGCGAAGACGATGGCGGAGTTTCTTCGGCACTTCGGACCGCTTCGAGGGCGGCCGAAACCTCTTCGTTGAGGGTCTGATGGTGAGTTACCAAGCGCTTCATGGCATTGGCGGCATCGGCGAAATTTTGAAGATGATTGGCCGAATTGTTGCGTCGCATCACCGATGGGGTCTCGAGAGCTGTTGTCGGTCCACCTCGGGCGACCCATGCCTGTTTGAGGACGACGTCAGCTGTGAAACGGCGCTTGACGTCTTTCACCAATAGGTTGCGGATGAGATCTTTGGCATCTTCGGAGATGGCGTTCCACTCGCGTTCGGGAAACTCGTAGTAGCCGTCACGGATGCTGTCAAATAGCTTCTCTTGACAGTGCGAACAAAATTCACCTCTTTCCCAGCCGCAGCCGCTTCCGCAGCTTCCGTAAAATGGCGGATAGCCGCAAAGCAGCATGTAGGCAATGACGCCCAAACTCCAGAGATCACATCTCTTGTCATAATAAACGGCTTGACCAATGAACGCGCCCACCACTTCCGGTGCCATGTACTCCGCAGAGCCTACGGGCGTCAAAAGCTCAGGGGTCGATACGGGACTAGACTCTTGCAGTATAACGCCTGATCCTAAATCAAAATCGCAAATTTTCACGGGGCTGACAGAGTTCGGGGAGGCGCACAAAATGTTTTCGGGCTTGAGATCTCGATGGGCGATGCCCTTCTGATGAAGGAACTGCAGTGCCGAAGCGAGTTGGGCGACTACTTCGGATGCTTCTCGTTCAGTGAAGTGCACCTTCTCCTGAATGTGCTTCAGAAGAGGTCCTCCATTCATTTTCTCGAATATAAGGTAGAAACGATCGTTGTCCTCGTGGAAGTCCAACAGCTGGATGATATTCGGATGACCGGAGCATTCGCGCAATGTCTCCACTTCGCGAAACACCCTCTGCCTCGAATGTCCGGGAACGTCTTTGATGATGACTTTGACAGCGACTTCGCGGCCCGTGTTCCGCTCAATGGCCGAGAGCACTTGAGCGTAGGAACCCTCACCGAGAAATTCGCCCGTTAGTTGATAGAGATCATGGAAGTTTTTCTCGGTGAAACTGTAGCCGGATCGCTTTTTCTTCTTCCTTTGAGTTCGACCGCTCGTCACAGGAGAAGTTGGGAAGTCTCCGAGCGCGTCGGCGTCCGCTTCGATTCCTGAAGAACCAGATCCGGAAACCTTCGACTGTTGGCTCAAACCCGTATCCGCCGAGATCTTCAGTCTGGCTTCGCAGTCTCCGATCAACACGGAGAGGTCAGCTGTAAGCAACAAAACACCCCGATCAGTCATAGAGAATTTCGTGGCCGGTTCGTATTTGTCATCGGCGGCATTTCATACCCGAATACCTAGCAGCCGTACAACAATCTTGATTCATGGAATAAAGTGAGAGATCACCGAGCGAATAGATAGGATCGACGGGAGCGTCTCGCTTTTCGAGTCTCTTTTAGTAGACAATTTGATCGCCACGGGACAACCGATAGCGAGTGCCCCGAATCGTCGGTCGGAGGTCTATCCAGCCAGCCCATAGGTAGCTGTTGCCATGCGGAGAAGCTTTCACAGCCGAGCGCGATATTTTCGCTCTCATTGATCTTAATCCGAGTCTACTACATCGGCGATAACGATACCGGAATCGACCCTGATGAGTAGTATTGTCTGTCACAGAAACGAAGTCAAGGATCGATGCGCTGGCTGCGCACAAGCTTCGAACGATGTATTCATCGAGCTGTTGCCCTCAAGCAGCAGCGGCAGCAGAGTCTACGAAAGCGCTCGCACGTAGCAACTATCTCAAGATGACCCGTCAGCTGGCAGAAGTCAAATCAAAGATTAGTTCTCGAAAGACTCCGTTGCTCCATTGAAAGCTCGCACCTTGACGGGGCACGATGTTTCAGTCACGGTTGAACAGCTGCAGCAGCCTGAAGGCCCTGAAGTCGAATCGAGAGCATAAGCGCCCCAAATCGAGAAATGTTCACATATACAGAGCCGCTGCCTGACGGACACTCGTTCCGGCGGCAATCACCCCCACCCCTCCCCCTCTTCCCGAAATCTCATGGTCCATGGTTTCATTGATCTCTATGAGAGCCAAAGTCGTGACACCGATCCGCGGGATTCCCGAATTCGCAAGGCGTCTTCTCTAAAATCAGAACACTTTTCCTTTGCTGTCCATGCTACTCAGCCACCGAAGCTTCATCCATCGATGGCATCAGCAGCTGGCTGAGTTTCCATTCACTTCCGTGGTGGGAAGCAGGAATCGGGCAAGCAGCAAACGCTGCTACGGCTCGTCCAGCAGCTGATCAAACGGACGCTTGAATCGTCGAACTCGTCGTCGTCGCCGTCGTCACGGCCAATCTGCGCTGGTAGTGAGACCAGAGCGCTCGAGCCCAGAACAGTTAGTCCCATGCAGGAATCGATGCATGGCAACAACGCCCGTACACCTTCCGAGGCCGTATCATCGACAGCAGAGAGACCGGCTTTGGCTTTTAGCCTCTTCTCCGGCCGGAGGACACACAGACACCCAGAGTCAGCCAGTGTATGCGCAGTCTGCGCAATGGGAGTCCGTTGACTTTTCCAAAATGGACGCCGATGCCTAATTTCGCATGAAGCGATTTCTATTCGCCGATCGAAGAAAGTCTGAAAATTGACGACGCGGGAGATACTTGAGAAATCATCTCGAAAATGAGCATTCGAGAGACTTCTGCGCGACAACGCTACTCCACTGTCGACAGCAACCCGGCAGCCACAGAGGGAGAAGGGTGACTATGGCCGACTGGCTGGCTAGCGTAGCGACGCTAGCCGACCAGCTATAGCGACCGAGCAAGCATCTGGCGACTGCGCCGCTAACAACAAAATGCTTTTCCTCAGACTTTCATGTTTCACTATCGCTCTCCGACACGATTTTGCGGAGGTGCACGGCACGTCATCGAGGTACTGTCACAAAGACCGCGATTGGGGTATCGCCCGCAAGTAGCAAGTCATGTTGCGTCCGAGGCTGTTCCTTGTCTCTTTCTGTGTGAGCGTAAGCGCTGTTTACGACGGCGACGCTTCAACCTTCGATTTGGTTTCTTCAATAGCGACGACGAGCATCGGTTAACCGATAGAGAAACAATAGCTAGCCTAGGCATTTCAAATGAGCCGCAAACAACTTACCCTGCGATGACGGCAGAACAGGCGAGCTTGGCAGCGAGCTCAGATTCAGTTCGACGGATTCGATGGCACAAGGCCTTCGGGGTTCCGACCTGCCAGGAATGGCAACAGGCTCGCTGATTTTCATCATGTTGCTGCAGCAGATGCAATAGTTGCTCCTCGGTTTTCTGTTGTCGGTTAGTCAGTTCGTCTGTCTGTCTATCAGTCCGTTCGTTCGTTCGTCCGTCAACGAGAGGACGATTCGGAAGTTCGAGGTTGAAGCCGTTGAGGAGACGACTTATCTGAGTATCCACAATTCGCAGAATCAACAATTGATGGCACTTCACTGCTGGAGGATCTTCTTCTGACACGGTCACGTTTCCAGTCGTCGCCACGCCGGTTAAATATGAGATCGGATGCTGTTGGCTCTCGTTTTGTGCCCAGTTGCTATCGGATATGCTGTTGGTAGCATGTACAACGTTGTGAAGAATGCGCTCCTCAGGCCGGTGGTTGGGCACTGAGGGTGTCGATGTTGTCGATTTCTTCTCTGCCGCACTCAGGATGGAATCGGTGCTTGAAGCCTACGCTGCCCCTCAGGGCCGACGGCAGCCTCACTGCAACACAAAATGGCTAAAACGCGACTTCCCTGAACTTTCACATTGGCGACACGAAGCCGTCATCAAGACGACTCGGTTTTATAGTGGACCCTTTCGCCTCTCGCTCAACACCTCTCTCCGGCTGACTTACCCTCGGAAGGGACCGGCGTCCAACCAATCAGCGCGCGACGAATATAAACAAAAACCTCATAGGCTCCTCCTCTTCAAGGACAGCTGACAGAAAAAACTCACTTTTCTCACTCGTTTCATTTGTTCTGCAGTATCGTATCGAATATCCCGCGAGCCATTAGATCTTCGAGACGACTCCCGAATCGACGCGACATGACAGAAATCGCAGCAACGGGAATTTCGGGAAATTTTCCTCGCGGAAACCCAGAGAGACCGGCTGTGTTCGCCGCCGCCGCTACACATCGGACCATGCAGAGAGAAGCTCGCGGAGAAACGGGGAGAGCGGTCGAGAGAGCTGAAACCCTGTAACTGCGCAGCAACAGAGACGCCGAGAACATTCGAGACGCTTAGGTCGATATTCGGGAATTCGGGTTAGATCTGTCGCGTTGGACATGAGGGACACGCGATCGAGTACCCCAAGGAATGTCCCATTGTTTCATCATAAATTACAATTGCGCCTTGGCTTATTCAAGAGTAACCGGCTGGCTGTCGTCAGCAAGCAGATGATGATATTATGATGATGACGACGCCGGAGGAGAAGAGCAGACGACACGGGGCTCTTTGTCAAGCCATCCGTTTCGGACGGTTGCCACCACCGAAAACTGTTGTCGATCTACCCTCGAGTAGGGGGCCAACAGTGCGCGAATTCTCGCTCGATGGGATTCCGACTGTCGTCGATCGAGTTTCCGTAGCCTGCTCCCTATAGAAGGCTCCGGATCACAAGTCCGAGGAATGACAGACAGATGATGAGAAACTCTTGATTCACCTTCGCTCACTGTCGGCGCTGTCTCGCTTCAAATCAGAGAGAATCCCGAAGTAGATGGTCGTGCTCTCTCTGGTGAACCGAATCGCTCATTGCGGAGACGCTATGCACGTTCCCCATCCGGAGTAGGTCTACATTTTTCCAAGCGCTCACTCGAACCCCAGAGTCACGGTCCTTTTTCTCTTTCTGACATCGTAGAAGAGCCCCCGGGGGAAGGTTTTCTGTTCAGCAGTCACCACGAGAGTCCCGCCCCGTCCAGGGAGCATCCAGGAAATCGATCTTGGGCTCTTGCTCCACATCCTGACCGAATCCGGAGTTCTTATCATGCTCGAGTTTCCAGGAGTTCCTCGTCGGGGAAAGAGAGCGGCGGCGATATATGCAAACGGTGAAGTGAAAAGACTCCGGAGAGTTGTCTGTATGAGGGGGCGACTGACGACGATACATCCCATGGAGAAGGTGCCGCATTGATCTCGAATGCTGATGGGCTGACCTCTTCCTGGTGAAGAATAACTCGGATTGAAGCTCCAGGAAAAAGTTGGAAGACGGAGGATCAACGTGGCTATGACTACCTGGACCATTTCCATGGCTTATTGTCTGTAAGACCATGTCATGGCTTCAGACAGCGAGATCAATCTTGGTCGATGTCATTACCAAGAATCGTCCGCAGACTGGGGACTCCCTGATGCTTTTAATGTGGTCAGCTCACCAATCAACGCCGGCCCTCATCTTCTCAGAACTTTTGATATGCGTCGCATTAGCATGTCAGCGGTCAGGTCGCCGTTGAAACTCCGGAATTCTCGCCCCGGCTCTGAGTTCCTCGAACTATCATTGAAGAATTGAAGACAGAGGTGAAACCTCTAGATTTTGATTATAAATCTACTCAGTTCAGGGTGACCTGAAGAGAGCATCGGGACCTTTTGCTTGAATCATCCGATGGAACATCGCTGTATTATGCAGACAATTCGATCTTTCCTTGCGGAGCTGCGCAATATCATCGGGAAAGTGGCTCAAATCGTCGCTCATTATGGCACCACTGTCGAGGAAATGACGAGGCGAAAGTAGCGGAACAATCCGAAATTCGAGGGTCTATTAAGAGAACCCTTCCACCAACGCTACATCCGGCACGAAACGTTAAAGCGACGGTCTATCGGTAGCGTTTTCTTCTTCTAGATCGTATATAATTATTCTAAGGTTCCGATTTCTTTCTCCTGCCAGGGGTGAACGACCGGAGGATTCTAGGAGAATCGTTCTCCCTTGTTCCCCCACCCCGGTGTCCTGCTGCCGTCCTCCTCAGTAATCTATGGGATTCTAATTTTTCCTCCCACAGGAGCAACGCGAGAGCCTACGTTACTGGTTCCCTAAGATTTTTGATGGAACTCCCCTCCGTGGGAATTCTGTACAATTGATGAATGGGCTCGGCGGCGATTTTCGGACTCCAAGGCGTTCCGTGTGGGGGGGGCGAACAGATCCCTGTATGGGTTCTCTGAGCGGGACATAAGCTGCGATGAGCAAGAAAACGGGCGACCGCTTCGGACCTGGGCTCGGCCCGACCGGCGGCGCCAGGCCGTCACTCAGCGTTTTTTCTCAAACCTCGAGAAACCAAAATCCTCTGCTCCGTGAACCGAGTCGATCTCGAAAAATTTCAGTTCTTCCAGACCATTCGATCCGGCCGACCTGCTTCCCCGAGCGACGCAAGCAGCCGGAGATCCCAAGGGAAGTCGGGAGATGGGGGGTGGTCCGTCGCATAACTTCCAGCTCAATTGATGCGATTAGTCTGAATCAAGAAATCCAGACTCGATCCGAATGATCGGCAAGACAAAATCGTGTGATGAATGGTCACGCGTTTCGCCAAGATACTGCACACTCGGCATTCGGATTTTCCCGCTTCATCTGAGTGTATTTCCATCCGCTAGACAACTTTTCCCGAAGGAGTCTCATCCATCTCCGAGACCTGACGGCGATGAGTCCTCTTGATTGCAGCGGCAATCGTGCGGCGAGACCTCGGACTCTTAAGCGAAATCATTGATCTTTTCGAGGGGACGACTTTCCTCTTTTGCGAGGAGTGATTGTTATTTGATTGCCGGGAGAAACTTCCAAATGAGCCAGCATGTGGAGGGGCGTCCATCGAGATAGCTGGTTTGAGCGTGTTTTCAGCTCTAGTTTTCCCGTAGCGCAAGAAATAGTCGGCGATCCTCTCCTCAAGCTTGTCTACTACTGAACTGACTACGGGAATGATACCAGAATGGCCGTACAGTAGAATGTCACGAGAAGCGGGAAAATTCTCGACAATGGCTCTCGCACAACAGATTAAAGCAGGATTGAAACTGTCCGGCAATTTCTTCCACCGGCTTGACGAATAGACTGCTCGAATTGGTAAGGTCCAGGATCGAACAGCTGTTCTGAAAGAGCATTCCAACCATCAGACATCCCGTGACTCATGCTCAGAAGAAACCCTGGAGACCGCTCACTTCGATTAGCCCGAGAGGAGGCACATCCGGGTATGCTGGAGCAGGTTCCCGTGTACAGGCTTGACATCGAAGCCTCTCGATTGAATTCCTCGATCTGAAATACGAATTCGAGGAGCAAGTACCTGCTCCCATTTATTCGGATGCTTACCTCGCTCGAACAATACAACGTCTATTCTGGCGGAAAACTCGATCATAGTGCTGTAGCGACGCCGACGGATGCACATGCTCTAACAGAGAGCCTTGTTGCTAGGTTGTCCGGGTTTCTTGAACCATATGACTCATACACCGAGAACGATGGGTTGATTTCACGGCGAATCCTCGTTCCCGATTGCTTGCTCAGTCCAGCCGTCCTAGCTCTTGGCTCCAAGCGAAACTCTACCTGGAACTGCAGAGTTCGTTTCTCTTGCGAGAAGAAAATAGTTGAGTTTTCACGGATGGAATGAAACGAGATCTTTTATACCTCGAACGCATTGAGTCCTCTCGGCTCGAAGACCATATCGAGTGTTTCTTATAGTGCCGTAAAACAACCGATTCGGTGGCTTGAGCAGATATGGCGACCGAAACTCGAGCTTTCCCATGCTCGAAAACGAAGATTTTACGATGCTTTGAGCTTATCAATGAATGATCGCAGTAGGTCATTCAAGTTCATAAGATGCAATTGCCGGCGTGGTCAACGTCGCTGAGGGAAATTCGATTGCCGTAATTGCGGCTCTCGAGCGTTTCCAATCGCGAACATTTGCGAATACATAGAGGGGAACCATCTCCAGCGAGAGGACTCTCTCGTTAGTCAAACACGCGTTTATGACCTCTGAGGTAAAATTGGTAGGAGGCCGACCGCTTCGGTCACTCGCTCACTCGCTCGGCCGCACGATCGCTTGTTTGCTTGGTCTACGTGACGAGAGTTGTTTTGAGTCGGTGGATGGAAGGCTGACTGGCTGGCTGGCTGAGTGGACTGATGTTACTTTGCGGACCGAGCTGTTTTTGATCAATCGAAACTACTGTTCTCGACGTTGCTGTCGCGCGAGACGGCTCCGTAGCAAATCAAGGCACGAGTCGGTCAGCCATGCTCGAACAGAACGATGACTTTCCCTTCTTGAAAAGCCACCAATATTTCCCTAGATTGCGACGCTGACTCTAAGAATGTTTCGGGTCTGGCTGAGTGGAATGGATGGATGCAGCAGAACCATAGAACTTGAGCGGCGTCACAAGGCTTGGGCTTTAAAGTTTCGAGAACTTTCTGGGCCGGAATCCGTTCCGGTGAACCACCGACGCCTTGAGCCATCCCATTCGTTCCTACGGCGAAACATTGGCAGCATGACTGCAAGTCTTCCTTGGGAGTTCCTTCCTTGGGGGGCAAATTTTCCTCCTCCTCTTTGGAAGGTCCAGTCGCGTGGTATGATACAGAGCGTCGTTTCCAAGCGGAGAATTTCTGTCAACGGTTTCGCTACGCTGTCGCGGTCAGAAGGTCCGTCTCACGCTAGCACTGCGTCAGAGAACTTATCAGTCGAGCTTTTGATGAATTTACCTAGAATGTCATCTAAATATAAGCAATCATCCGGAGACGGTCCAGCTGGTTCGACGGATGTCGTTTCGACTTCGGAACGCCTTGCTGTTATAGATGGTCTTCAATGTCATCCCCAGAGATGATATTTTTCTGTTCGAGCTAACCACCGCTCGGATGCTCGGCTGGCTCGCTAGCCGGCTATTTTGGAATTGTTTAGTCAAATTGTCTGAGCGAGTAGCTCGACGAGGGGCCCTTGTTGACGCCTCAGAAAAGTACCGGGCCGTAGATCGACTCGCGCACACCGAATTGCCGTCGTCCAACAACTCGAAACCCAGCTGTGTTCTCTTCTTTTATTCGGGGGCAACATCTAATACGCGCACCTATACGCTCAGGTGTTTGGCTTTGACAGGAGAGATCGTTATTCAGTGCTGTCATTGGTTGCTGGTTCGCTCAGACGATACTTTCTTTGGTTGAGCTGACCTCTTCTCTCGCTGGATAGATAGCTTCTCGAGCGATCAGCGCTTCATCAAAGCAGAAGATTGCATCACCTTTCACTTATACGACTGGTTTCGCTTTTCCTACCGACTCAAGCTCGAGGGGTCCGCTCGAAGTTACAGCGTCGAGAGCCCCCTCGTCACGGATCCATTTCTCCTGGAGACGACGAATGGTGTCGAGCGGAAGGAGAAATCCCCTTCCAGATTGAGGGTGAACGTTCGTTGAGCTAGCCGCTCTCGTCCGTCGCGTAGACTAGGCAGACAGCTGTGGACGTTATTGTGACCCCTTGGCCTGGATTCGTCGGTGGACCACGTATCAAGGAGCACGTCAGTTCCGTCCGACGGTCTGCCAGACTGACTCAGTGACCGACTGAGAGGATGCCGCTCGGTACAAAGGAAACTCAAGCAACACCTTCCGCCCTAGTGCGCCGCTGGGCGCTCGTCTGACTGTTGGAGAAGAATAGCTCGGTGCTCGGTAACCGATCGACTGAGCGAGCCTGTCCCATCGTGACGTCGGAGTTCTATCTCGACGGAGTGTCTCATTTTCGAGCCGCTGATGAGCCTCGATCGGAGCTCATCAGAGAGTCACCGACAGGCGATCGTTCGATATCCGGAAGGAGCTGGACGGAATAATCTCAGTCGGCCTAATGCTTGGTAGAAATTTTACTTCCGTGAACATTCTGACTGAGCGTGGAAGCGATCAGTAGTTGGTCTGGAGTTCTCCTCCGCGCTCGGGCCTCGTGATCGGTAACCGCGCGATTCGCCGCTGCTGTGGCTCTCAAGGTCAACGAGGCATGCACCGTTTACCGATTATCCGGAGAGAAAGAGAATTATCCATTCCCGAGAGCGACGAAACTCCGATGCAGATACGAGCGTACTGCAGCCGCCGTCATCGGCCACGTTCTTTTCCACAATACGCTCAAAGTTCGGAGGGGACGAGGCGGATGTAGTTCCCTCGAGAACACGTCGCTCCTTCAACGTTGCGCCCGCTGCTGTCTCTAGATCGGTCCGGGCGTTGGAGAATTTCGATGACGTCGTACTCGACAACATCATTGTCGTGGATATCGTCTCGGTCGTTCGATCTGCCTGACTCAAGTTCAAGAGAGCTCTTCCCGGTCGAATCAGGGGGAAAATCTCGCGATCGGTATCGCTTTAAAGATGAAGAGTGCAGCCTCTCATCGACGATCGGCCGAGTGGCGGATTTTAGGAGTTCTCGCTGTTCGGTTTTGCCTTACCTCAGGTGACACACTCGCACGAGGCCCTGGAAGGGCGGGTCTCACTTCGAGCTGATCGAGGCGGAGATAGGGTTTCGCTCAACGTCATGCAGTCTCTGAGCGGAGTCACGGTCGGTGATTGCTCATTGTCTCGAGGCGAATGCGAGCGGAAACTTCGTGCGTGGGGGGGGGGAAATCACTGACAGTATCCTGAGCAACAATTTCCAAGATTCTCGTTTTCTCACCGACCAGCTCAGGAATTCATTGCCTTATATTCTATCCAATTAGCCCGCTAACACAATGTCAGTCCCCCCGAGAGCCATCCCTGCTAGACTCATCATGAACATTATCGTATGCGACTTGCTGACCGAGTGTAATAATCTCCGCTCTTGCCGGCAATGTACGGTCGGGGGAATCCGTTGGCGGGAGGACCAAGTCTCCCACACGACCCGGAGGGCGAAATGCGGCGACGATATGGGGAAGGCGAGCTCAGATCGCTTCCACGAACTGTTTGCGTGTGAGGAAAATCCGCGGGACTTCTTCGTTCTCCTTTGATACGAACGGAGCATCGCAAAGTGTTTCTCGCTGAGGGTGATTTCCGATCCGAATGCTCGGAAGAATAATTGCAAGCCCCGAGCGACTTGTCTGGACTCTCGAGATCGTGGTTCCCGATCCCGATTCGACCGCCCACAGGGAGAACTCCGATAAAGTCTCGCGTGGGGAAAACGATTGTAAAGATATTAAATTCATTGCCGAGAGTCATGAGAGCAAGGGAGCTATCGAGGACTCGTTGGCGGCTGCGGGCAGTCGACGGAGTACGACACTGTATTTTCTCAACCGGAATCTTAGCATGCATCGATCCGCTTGTATCAATGCGCTACTATGGATGGATCGAGATCAGCTCGCGGTCATTGTGGCGGAACAAGATTCATTCCATCTCCCGGTAACCGGACCTCTTCTCCTCGCCTCCCAAGAAGCACCCGGCAGCTACGAGACTAGAGCTATAACTGATGCTTGTGGGTTCGGAGAGAATGGGTCGATCGACTTGATACGAATCCCCCCACAGCTATCCCTCGCGAACTCCGGTACCTCATTGTGGTCTCAGATGGCGACGAGCTTCCGGTGCCCGAAGTCATCCCGAGGTCAATCTGTCGACTTGGAGGATTGGTTCCTCAGAGTTTGTGCGGCTCCAGTGAACTCAGCTCGCGCAAGTCCTCGACTTCGTAGCAAATACTCTGCTCCTCGACAAAAAGTATAATATAATGCAGCCCCCCCCAATTTCAATATACGTATGTATATTTCCATCGCGATCGGAACCTAATCAGTCGGGTAGGTCTGTAGATAAACTCAGGAAGGTCGAGGGTCGGGGCGCTTCTTGTAAGGATTCGTGAGATGCTCTATTTCATTGACGGTCCCCTGCGCGATTGGGTCGAAGTCAGTGCCTGGGAGGTGATCGACAGCGGATCGATGACTGATTTATCTATTGATGAGTCGTGGCTTCGCAATCCAGAGAGGCTCTTCCTCTGGCTCGCAACAGGATCAAGCGTCAAGGCATAAAATTCTGCTGTACTCTCTGCATCCAATCTGTTCGAGATCGCCTGCGAAACTGTGTTCCTAAGAAACCACACAGCTTGCGCGATCGCTCTGATGTTTCACCACTCCCAGCCGCGGAAACAGAGCGCATCGAGAGCCTTTGCGTATGCCGGGGAACGTCCGTAGTAAGGCTATTTCTCCCCGATTTCTCCCTAGAGTAAGGTAGAGAATGGCAGCGAGAATCAGTGTTGCTCCCCGAGACTGTATATATCACTAGTCGATGGATTCCGCAGGAGATAGACGGTTAAAAAAATGTGGGAGATCACTCCTCCCAGAGAGGAGACTTCTAGCGCAGATCATCAATAACATTCGTTTCACTCTCCCGTCGGGGGTTCCGCTCCTCTTCTATTTCTCGTTCGCGCGCATCTTGTTCCGTTTCCCCGTCAGCTCGGCATACGTTACCGTGAACTTTCTGTTCATAACTATAACAATCGCACACGTCTCGCGGCGACCTGCGTAGAAGCCGGGGTCTAGCCATGACTACGCAGCAGAATAGTTGCCTGCAAGGGAGAGAGAGAGCGAAAAATGACGCCTTGCGTAGTATTTGGGGTGAATTCCTTGTACTGGAGATAAGGAGGATACCTCATCGAGAGCCCCATGAAATGTTCATCCCATTTATCTAGAGGTCCACCGGCTGATGTCGACCCATCGCCACCGGCCGTCACTGCCGAGTGCCGACGCCAATCGAGAACCGAGAGCGTAGCAGACGACGCGGCGCTCTCCGAGAGAAAAGCCGCTTCGGAACGTTGCCATCAACGACCCGTGTTGATTTTCCGATTCGCGGCAGCAGAAAGCGAATGCTCGTTCTTCGGTGATTCGATTTTCGTAGATGGGGTGTCGTTTCTCGTCCCCATCACCAGGCTCCGAGCTGTACGTCCAGGAGTGACCCGTGTCATTGGAAACTTCCGCCTAAGGATCACTTGCCGGACATCCGACCCGTTCGAAAACCGTGGAATGCCCGAATAGAGTAGCCGAGCTCTTCATTCAGTGAAGTCCGATCGTACACTGCAGAAATGGAGCCGCCAGCCGGTGAGTCCCTCGAATGGCGTCTCATCCTTCCACAGAACCTCCTCGTCCAGTCTAAAGGCGTTGGATTTCTCTGGGACTCGAGCGAGCAAGCAGATGGTCGATTTCCTTTGGTTCCCAAATCTTCCGGCGGATATTGGTCGTCTCTCCCGAGGCACCTTCCCAAAAGGATTCCGTCAGAAGAAAAGACTTTAAAAGCCAAGAAACAGCAAAAACGCGATCATCCACAGCTCTCCGACGGTATATCTCACGTGAAAATCATTCGTCGCTGGGAGCAGCGGGACCGCTCTCGGCATGCCAGTATACCAAGAACTGTCCACAGACCATAGACTCCCATGGTGCTCCTTCTGTGGTCATTCCACCAAAATAAGCCGGCCTCCGTATTATCGGAACCTCCAAAGTGTTCCGTGTCAGCGCTCAGATCGTCGACGAATTTTCCGACCTCTCGCCCACTGAGCGCTCATAACTTTAGACGACGATCAAACACGGTGGCGTCCCCGGAACTATTCACGAAGCATAGAAGGGGGGTGATACCTGATATTCGTCGCTGATACGATTTCGTTCTTCACCTTGCAGAACTCCGCAACATCATCGGGAAGTTGGCTCAGTTCGTCGCCCGAAATGGCAGCGTGTTCGAGGAAATGACTAAGCAAAAGCAGCGCAACAATCCGAAGTTCGAGTTCCTTTTCGGAGGACCCTTCCACCAATACTACATTCGACAAGTTAAAGCTCAGCAAGCGAGTAAGTTACGCTGTATATTCTACATTTCAACACACTCCTCTTTTTCCAAACAAAAAGACACCGAGGTGGAGTCACTCGACTGAGGGAAACATTTGATCGAGGGACGTCAGCTTGGACCGCCGTCGAAGCGGCTCATGGCTCCTCGGAGCGAATTTTCCGATTTTTCACCGTGACTCGAGCGCACCAGAGACCTCGGAGACCCAGATTGATCGACGAGCCCGAGGGACGGCGAACTCGTCCAAGCTGAATACGGTCCCCGTATTCAGACGCGAGGCCGAGACTGAGATGTACAAATTCGAAATAATCGTATCCAGCTCATTCACTCATATAGTGCTTCGCTATCTGGGCGTTCGTGTTTCTCGGGCTTTTGATCCCGACTCTGGGGATGGGAAGTCGATTCCGACGGACCATTCGGCCATCTCCACGAATATTCGCCGAGGTCGACTCTTAAAGTTCGAAGCGTTCTCATGACGGTTCCGCGTGGCGCGGCTTCGACATACCGGCGAGCTCAGTATTCGATGCAACCGGTGCGGGGGGAAGGTGTTGATAATGACCCAATACCAATGAGTCTTTCTCTTCCCAGACACGGGAAAACCTTTCGACCGATTTCCTTCATTCTCAGATCTTGTGGGACTGCTCGGCCTGAAAAGCGAGCAGGTATTATAACAGAGACCCGAGCCCTAGCCCCAGTGATTAAAGTTAGTGGGAGGGACTAGGAACGAGCTCCCCGCGAATCCGAAAGCAAGCATTTCCGGAAGGTCTCATTGTTAGCCTCAATCGGGCAACCTAATGCTCAATTGACCTCTTCTTGATGAATCAATCTCTTCGTTATGTGGAGGAGTGTGTCTTCGAAATCGAGCGTCGCGATGGGTATCTGCGCCGCCCACACTGGTCTGTTGTAGTCGAAGGTTTCAAGGTTCGAGGTCAAGGGGAAGTACACCACATAATTCAGGCGACAGAATCATTCGATTGGGAATCGTGAGACAGGCGACATTGAGATGATGGGACTATACCCGCCTTGATCGGGAAAAGCTTGCGAGGAAGTACCGGATTTCGCGCAAAAAAATCGGGCGCTTCGCTTGCGGAGATAAGGATTCTTAGTGTTATCCATACTTCAGGCTGCGGCTTGCGAGTCCAGGGCCGCCTGGTCGAGGGAGAATCTCGACGTCATCATCAAGGGCATTCCCCCATCGGGTATGCAATCGGTGGATCTCCATGCTGGGCCTGGGAATCGCTCATCCTTCGGAGGAAGGAAAAATCAGCCGATCTTCATCTTTCTTGTAGTTCGATACTGCGTATCGTAGTGACTGGTGACGGACACACATTGTGCCGCAAGGTCTCACCTCGAGCGTTCCGAGGCGAATTGAAGGTTTTTCTACGTCACTGAACGAGTTGCGCTCGGCAGTTGTTCACTTCGTTTTTACGAGACCTTGTGTGGCTGCTCGAGACTGAAGACAGGGAGAAGGCAGGATTATACTGAAATGGCACTTCCGGACAACTGTTTGTAAGGTCTCCGATGAACTTTCACGCCCACCGGAGAATTTATTCTTCCCGCTTCGTCCATAAATACTTCCCCATGAGTCCCGCGAACTCAGTGTCAGGCTCTTTCCAGAGGGGGCCCCAACACTACCATATCTCCTTGAGATCATTCCCGCTATCTGCTGCGATTCGTTTCATGAATTCAGGATGATCTTCGCCCCTGTCGTCAGAGAACGGTAGCGGAAATTCATTCGACTAGGAACTGGATCGCTCGCAATCAATCGGATGAGCGGATAAACAAATGAGCCGGGGGTCATCGTTTCGTGATGGAGTTTATTCCCTGTAAAGCTCCGTCTAACTTTTCCGCTACTTGATACGAGCTTGTCCGGCGGGGCACATCTCAGCCTCCGGATTCCTAGCGTATGATCTCTCGAAGCTCTTGATGAATGTGGGAATGAATGGAAAGTCCATCCAGATTATTTACAGTGATTTAGAGCTGGCTTTCCGTTTACGGAGTCGTCTCGCTCCGAGATGTGTTCCTGATCAGCTGCTCCGAATACTGCCATAGTTTTTTCGGCGCCCGCTTGTCGTTTGCGATCTCATTCAGTCGCGTCGGTTTGCAGTCTCGGAATAAACAACCAGTCACTTCGTCGAGTTCGTCGCTGGTCGCCAGATGAATGAGTGTTTGGGCTCCCTGCCACGAAGTTTTGGCGTAGACTGGCGCGACGAGCGTTTCTGACAACCAGTTCCCCAACGCGCTTGAGTTCTTTAGACCGGAAGTGTGTACCAAGCCAGGGTTCTGAGCATTCACGGTGATGCCATCTTTGAGCAAACGCTGCGCGAGTTCGCGCATGAAATAGACATTCATGAGTTTCGAACGAGCGTAGCACAACACTCCATTGTAGGCTTTATGTTGCTGGAGATTCTCAAAGTCCAGACGGACGTATTCGTGGGCCATCGATGTAGTGATAATTATTCTCGAACCGGGGTTTAGCGCCGGCCGAAGCAGCTGTACGAGGTGGAAGTGTCCGAGATGATTCGTGGCGAACGTCTTCTCGTGGCCCTCGGAAGTCTCCTGACGAGAATCGACCGGTCCCGTGCCGGCGTGCAGACAGAGTACATCGATTTTCTTAAGCGAAAGAGTCAGCTGTCGTACCAGCTCCTCAACCGACGCGAGTGAGCTGATGTCCACTTCATGGACCTCGATATCGATGTTGCCGGTTTGCTGTTGTATGTCGCGGATGGCCTCCCTCGCTTTCTTGACGTCACGGCAAGCCAGGATGAGTCGAGCACCGCGTCTCGCGAACTCTCTCACTGCTTCCAGGCCCACGCCGGAGTTGCCTCCGGTGATGAGAATGGTCTTGTTGCTCAAACCGATCGAGTTGCCGCACTTCCCCATGGTGAACTTGCAGTAAACGTAGAGCCCGACGGCTATCGCACCGAAGCACGCGGATATGAAGAAAATCACGATGGAAATTTCAAAGAGCATGTTGCCGAATCGGGTATCGTCCGACATCACTCGCTTCCAGTCGGATTATTTACGCTGCTCGTGAGCAGCGGAGAGTGTCACAATTTAGAGGCGACACTGCTCACGCATCGAACGTCACCGATACAAATTCCATGTTCCACGTACCGGGCTCGTTATGGCTCTACTTGGCCCGTCCGTCCGTCCATCCTTCTGCCGGACAGACCAGGCGACCGACTTGTCGATGATTAAGCTTAGAGCGAGTCGGCGGACGAGATAACGGCGCTATAACGATTAAGTTTTAGCGCACAACCACCGCTCGCACGTCGCGATGGTCCGGGAGAAGCGATTGGAAAACGAATGATTATCATCCGACCTGTGTCAGTCTCCTAGCCTCCGATCGTTGGAGAGAGAGATTCGTTCGAATAGGAGAGTATCGCTTACTCAAAACACCTAGAACGCGTCTCGCCGACGCGCGACGAGAAGCCAGTCCGTCCACACCATCGGTGTCCAGCTACAGGGAAAGTTAAGCCTCTGCGTGGTTGAAAAGGAACTCCGCAACGACGAGGTGGTCAAAGCGATGGAAATCACGGGGAAAATGAGCTTCGGAAGCGGCTGAAACCATTCTTCTGTGCGCTCTGTCTTTCCTTAAACAATGCATTAGATCTTTCGAAACCCTCTCGATTCCGGTCGTCGCGAGCGAGAGTGTCGCCACTCGGCGCAAGGCGTCTCCTAGATAATCATCCAAGCCATGCCGTTCCCTACAACAATAACTGACATTGTATACTTTAGTTCAATCCGCCTTGAAATGTGCTCCGACGCTCTCGAGACGGCCCTGGTTCCAACTCTGTGAACGATATCTCACACGCTGAATTTCGTGATCGTCGGGAGTTCGGGAGTGCAATCGAGCCTCGGGAGTGTAGGCGAATTCGCGGGAGAGCATGATGAGCGATGAGATACAGGAAATTACGGATCTGAGGAAAACTCGAGCACAGCCTAGTTTGGAATATTCAGAGCAGCCGCTAAGCTCCCACTGCTCATGTCGCGGTTTTCCTGCCATAAATCAGAAACGCGATGTTACGATTGAATGATGAACACACGAGGCCGTAATGCAGGTCCGCATCTGCGAGATTTCCGCCCCCTGACGTAGTATTATGGAGTGAATCTACGCTCAGCATAAGTGGCGGGACCTGTTCGAGGGAGATCTTCGCAGTTCTCCTATCCTCAATGACCTATTCAACTTTCCCCCCCCCCCCGATCCACAAGGAGGCGTCGCTGTGGATCGCCTCATGACCCGCGAGTCTTGTTCGTACATCGATATACGATGCGTTTTTCCGAATTCCAGTCATCAAGATCCAGAACCAGGTCAAAGCTCCTCTGATCCGGTCTCCGCCATCGTCATCGTCACAGTCCCATGGTCCTCCCGAACCATGGGTCGAGGGACCCGCCTGGGCCGCGCCAGGACCCTCTGGAAACGTACTCGCACCGCCGCCGGGACCGCCTCCGGCACTCGTGCCGCCCCCGATGCCACCGCTGGCGGGTCCACCTATGCCCCCTGGAGCGGAATGGGGTCCCCTCGCTGCGCCCTGTCATCCGTCAGAAGCTGTGCAGAGTATCCAGAAACAAATCCAGGAGTGTCAAGTATGCGGCTTGCGTGAAATCTCCCATCCCGGAAGCGGTCCTATCGTGGAGTCGAGATTCCGCCTTGAATAACCGAAATGAAATTTCAGACCCAAATCCAGCAGTCGGAGGCCAATTTAGCGGCACAACACGGATGCCTCATGCAGCAGCAACAGAGAGCTCTCGACGATGCGATACGCGAAGCCGTCTGTCAGAAAAACGCGTCGTGGGCTCAAGACGCCGGTCTGGATTTGGCTGACTTCGATCGGAAACTGACAGCCGTCATGGAGCAGTGTACCAAAGAAGCGATCGCTGTGCGTTATCTCGGTGCCCGTGGAACCTTGATTCCCGTTTTTCCAAAGCGAATATCTACAATCTGTCTTTTTTTGTGAAATTCTGTATCTACTTATCAACCTAGAATATTATCCAAGCCTTTGCTTATCCTCAGCATGGGAAGTCGTGGATTCTGTCCCGAGCCACCAACGCAATGAGAGCCCATTGCGTTTGCCAACACCTTCTCCGCCGCTGCATGGATGTCGGTATACCGTTTGATCACAAACTCCACATTGTGTACTTAGTCAACGACCTGCTCCACCACTGTCAGAGAAAAGGCGAGCATCTGATCGGAGGCGCCGGGAATCCAAAATGAATTATCCTCCCACTCGGAGATATGGCTCTATAATGTCTAAGCGCTGGTTCTACCTCCAGGTATTGATCTGATGAGTCCGGCTCTAAAAGAGATCGCGGTCCCGCTATTCTGCTCTGCGCTCAACGAAGCGCCCTCGGAGAAAGTGTGTAAACTTGAAAAACTGAGGAATTTGTGGGCTGCGAATCAGTATTTCGACGAATCAACAATCGCACAATTGAATGATCCCGTGACGAGTATGGCGAACTACCAAGCGAGATTGCTTGCTGAAAACAGTGAAGTAAGTTCGGATGGAGACGAGACTAGGAAAAAAACATCACTCAGACAGCTCATCGGAATAATGGTCTCGACGGGAAGGAGTGCTATCCATGAGAATAATTGTGCCCCCCGCTCGTCAACCTGGCTGATTTGAGCGACTCTAGGAGCGCGTTTTAGAGCTTCGTGCTACAGAAATTATTTTTTCCACGTACTCAATAGCTCCTTGTGTCCGACTCCCGTTTAGGTGAGTCAGAAGGTCAGCGCCGACATCCAAACGAAGTACACCTCGTACCAGAAACAGCACATGGAGTTCGTGGCTCATCTGACGCAACAAATTGCTCGGCTTCAAGTCGACCTCCAGGCTGAGGAACTGAGAACGCAAGAGCCACCCACGCCTGCTACCCCCATACCTCCTATACCTGTACCTTCAATATCGCCCATTGCTCCCGCAGCTCCCCCCCAGTGGAGGAGCTCCGCAGCAGCGGAGACCAACGGTCTGCGGACTTATGCAGGCAAGACCCGAGTCCGATACTTATTTCTGAAAAGTGTGGATTCGAAAAACTGAAATCACTTCTGACAGAGAGCGAATTCCCTTCTAGAACGACGTGAGGGCGAGCAAATGATGTATGCTGGTAGCTCAGACTATGCAGAGAGGAGAGAACCGTCCGAGTATCCGCCGTCCTACGAATATAATTATATCCAACCAGAAGTCATGCCAGAATCTTTTGTTCCGGACCTTCCGTATTACAAATTACCCGCTGGTCTGATGGTGCCCCTCGTAAAGGTCAGTTTCCAGCGGAGATGTCGAACTCTCGAGTTTTCAGCTGCGATTGAGAGGCTATTCGAATCATATCACATGAATAATGATGCTTCACCGAAACCACTTCCCCGTCAATCTGGAACATTGAGGGAATCGTTCTCGATGAATTTCCAGCTGTCTGACTGCACCTACGAGCCGATTGACGCGAAAGATTTGCGCCTTCCGCCGAAGTTACCCCCGAGCGAGCATCTTCTCGCCGCTCTCGACGCCTTCTACGCTCCTCCCACCCACGAACGACCGAGAAATTCTGAAGGCTGGGAGCAATTGGGCCTATACGAGTACTTTAAAGCTAAGAACAGCGCAAAGAGCGAACGGTATGTGTAATGGAAATATTCCGAATCGTGTAGATTAGAGCCAAAGATCAGAGGTGATCGTCAATGCTGATATTTTCGATCGAGGTGGGTCTGATTTAATTTGGAAAACGTCATCCGTAGATACAAGAGCGCATCTGTGCCGGTCGACGGCTACACGAGCGCCGGCGACTCAGAGGATGAACAGCAACGCGTCGAAGAAGTGGAAAGAACGGAACGTAATCGGAGAATCGCAGAGAGGGAGGCGAGACGCGTTTCTCGGAGACGATTCAGGGAAACGCCTCCTCCAGATGCCGAACCACCCTCGATGTCCCCGAGTCCACCGCCCTCGAGACGGGATGCTGGCGACAGTTCATCGCCAGAACGATCCCGGTACGCACAACAAGGGCCATCAAGGTCTCATTTCTTATAGGGTGGTTTACTACGGCGCTCAATCGCGTCCTACCTGAGGGAGAAACTGACGGGATTCTACCTATCTTACAGACGACGAAATATATCACCCTCACGTAGACGAAGTTTATCTCCGGAAGTACGACCATCTTTCGGTATGCAGCCCTCAGTAGCTGCTCCAACGCGGCTCGATGAGTCGAACAAGGGTCACCAGCTGCTCAAGAAAATGGGATGGGGAGGCGCGGGACTTGGGGCGACCGAGCAGGGAATCGCCGAACCGATCAAAGGGGGCGAGATTCGTGACAGGAGCGAAATGTACAGAGGTAGGTTCTCCGGCTGAGCATCGCGAGAGTGAAGCGGCTGCCTCTTCGAGAGGAGGTCGTTCTTCGATACCGAAAGAGCGACTCTTCCGTCAGTGACCAGGTCCGGTAGAATTAAGATGACCGCCTTCGATCCCGGCAAACGAAAGTGTGAAACTGCCTCACTTCATGATTTGATACCCTCGCGCATGTTCACAAGTAATGATCGAGTTATTTTCTTCTCAGGTGTTGGCATGTCAACGTCGTCCGAAGATATGTACGAAATGTACCGTAAGAATCGGGGACAACAATTCATCAGCAGGATGAGAGGTGATGGCCGTTGAGATCACTGTGGAATAATTACGAACACACAGCGTGGAATAAAAGAAGTTCTCAAGGCAGATCTCATTTTTTTCCAATACGGGACGGGGCTTCCGGGCTCGAACATGATATTGCGTCATTCCAGAGCTCCGTACGGATAGTCTGCGATTCTGACGAGACGTTCATTCCGAGTACGACCCCCTCTCGTTTTCGCGCTCGCCCGCGTGCGATGAAACCGCATCGCTCGGGTGCGCGCCGGGGGAGTCCCTCAATTTCCAGCAATCATGGAAATGTAAGCTGCAGGCGACGAGAAAGCTTCACCTGATCAGCAGAGTATTCTCGAGCGAGTACCTATCCGATATTCAGTGTAATATGTATTCATGAGCACATATCCTATCTATCGATCTGTGCCCGAATACTCGGTGGATGAAAATTGTCTCAGCCGTAGTCATCTGATATTGACGCAATCAGCTCTTGCTGTGCTGGCCACACATGATGTCCTGACAGTTTCGGGCAGCCCTGCCCAAAGTCGGCCCCATGACTTTTCCGCTGCATCCTCGATTTCTTTTTGAATTGGTCTCCGTCCATTTCCCATCGAAGGCTGGACTCCTCGTCTCCTATGAGCATCACGAGGATCGGATTTGGAATCTTCCTGAACTTTCCAAAACTTGAGTTTGACGCCTAAACACGTCTACTCAATGACCACACGCTTCCAAGCCGAGCCTAAGGGTCCTCTGTGTTATGAAGAGAAGAATGAGATGTCTCCCTGGACTCGGATCCCCCTTCCCCCACAAGAGTGGATTCTCACTCGTCGAAGAGAATAGGAGCCAGATTGAAGCGGAATGGTAGCGGCGGCTCCCTTCCGTGTTGACATGCTTCGAGAGGAGGAAAATTCAGATCCATGCTAGAGCGCCTAATTGTCGCTGGCGGCTCGGATTCTATATCTCTCCGCCGCGCCTGTCACAACGCCATCAAGGATGCTCCTACACTGCGTGGGTGTGTGGTTTATTTTTAGAGAGAGCGGCCTTTTCAGAGAGCCCTTCATAGAGACAGCTCGAGGCAGCTAGAATTTGATGCTTTCCGTGAGAACTTGAGCGGAACTCCCTCGAACATTCCCGAAAAGTCCGATATCCTCTCCGAGAACCCCCCCGCCGCTCCAACTTCTGCGATTGCTCTTTTCGGTATTTCGCGGAAGAAAAATATTCCCCCCGCAGATCCCGCTATCAAAACTCTCTCTACGGCACCGCTGCCGGAAGGCTCGCCATATGGAATCGTGACAAGATGTGCGCCGATTATGAGGATGGGCATATTCGAACCCCCGCCTGTGATAGGGGGGAAGTCGAAGGTCAACGAATTAGTCCGATCACCTCGGGAGGATCATGCAGTATTCGCTCCCCACCAATATATACAAATCATCAGCAGACTCTCCCTACGAGATGGATCGCAGGATTCTACGACGGCTTCCGCGTCGGGGCTTTGCATTTAATCCCCTCGCCAACGACTATTTGCGTCTCCCTCCCCGTGAGGAAGGTTCCGTTGAAATTTCGCGAAAGCTCCCTCAAAGTGGCCGTGTGTACCGGCGACCCAATCACGGAGGGCAGAATTTACGTGCCGACAAGCATTCGAAAATAGCCGCTCCACTCGCCCTCTTCCATACCCTTGCATTCCCTTCCCTTCGAGAGCTCCTCTCTCCCTACGTGCCGTGGAGACTTGAGTGTCTTTTCCCGAGCAACGACAGCATTCGCCGTACTCGAGGCACAACTCGCAAACTCTCAAGAAGTTTTGTGTGGAGCCGAATGATCTGTGAACCGAGCCCGATACGGAGTACGAACGATAGTCGGGAGCAAAGTTGAAACCGAACGTCATGAACATCTCTCCGACCGACCAGCTGTGAACAGATTTCCACGCACTGCAGTAGTCCGACGACATTCACCCGTCGCGTTCATGTGAGAATCTATCCCCGTCAGAGTGCTAAAGAGTGAAAGTGAATCATGACAACTTCGGCAGGCATCCTCGCTTTCCACACTCGCGAGGCCGTAAAAGTGAAAGCCAGGGTGAGTCACATAGATACTTCGCCACTCACGTCTACGCTCCCCATATGATTCACATCATTAGCTGTATTCGATCGTTTGACCTCATCGGTTGGTCTGGGAAACTTTGATCCTCACGGAAGCGAGCGACCCGTGCGTAGATTCGAAATCATCGGAATTTAGAATTTATCGCTGAGTTGAATCAGTCGCGATAAATCTCCCAATCCGTTACCGTACTCTCCATCCTGTAGAAAACCGTATCCCTATCTGATCTGGTCCTCAGATAAAACTGATAAGTCCGAGCGGAATTTCGGGGTGAAAAAAACTTCACGATCAATCTCGATGATGACCCGTGCGCGATGGAACGCTCCGATAAATCCTCGGTGGGCTGCACCGCATTTTTGACATTTGAAACCGAGAACTAGCGCCGAAGCCCTCCCCGGACAGGTCCGAGTTCCGGATATGTGGGTCGTAGACGGTTCCATGTAATTCTTATTCAACGAGTTTTTCTCTGTGATTCGGAATCTATGGAACTCCTATACCGATCGGCCACCGAGGCAGAATATATGCGGAGACCTTGCATGGCGCCGTAGAATTCCGTTCGAGGACAATGGAAGGGAATTCCGCTTATGTAACGGCATTGGGCTCCCTTTCCGAAAAGATTTTCTCCAAGCGAGAACGTCTTAATCGCTCTGAGCACTTGTATGGCTGGCGATGTCATGCTAAGAACAAGCCTATTCAGTCTACGACCGAGACTCCATCGATTCTTCGACCACCTCGTGTGGACCCCTGAGGCAGACGATGGGGTTTGAAATCTTCAAAATGGACCTCGGCTCACCGGATCGCTGCCGGCTTCCCCAAGTTGTTCAGACAGACGGTCGCACGGGGTCGGCCAGGCCACCACCACCGAATGAAGCACCCGAGTCCCGGGCTTCGGAGCGTCAAAGCCACGAAGTAGCAGGATGAACTATTGTATCGACGCGCGAGGGCAGCAGGATTTGCCCAAACGATAGTAATATTTTCATCCGGATGCAGGGAGATTTCCGACAGTCGGAGAGCTATCCGTAGGGCTCCAGGGAGGGTTGTGCAATTATTCGTCGATTTCTGATCGAAAAGATGTTCGAGAACCCGGTAGCCGATGCTCCAGTACTTCGATAAGTCGTTTTCTACTGAGTCATCCTTAGTAGAAATCTCAATAGAGACCCGCGTAACAAGCTGTCCAAGGTTAAGCGGGCCCAGTGGTGGTCTGATCTCAGAAATTCAGGTATCGCTTAGAACTATTATTACGAGGCCGCCAGCTCACTTGCGTCACAGACTGGAACCATCGCAGGTGGAGTTGATGCAATTTGCCCGTCGCTCAGCCGTGGACAGCTTTCGACGGACCTCGGACCACGCGGATTGTCCGTATTGACGTCGCTCCGCGCATTGACAACATTCACTGAATTCTTTCAAGATCGTCAGCGTTCAGAAATCAATGACCGAGGTACTGGCCGAGTACTCTCCTAGTACAGATACAGGGAGCTACCCGCAAGGTTCCCATTGAATAGACCCAAGTCAGGGCAACCCTTAAGCGTAGCAACAAGAATTCGCTAGGCTGGCTCGCTCCGATTCTTGTGATGCTCCCTCTGACCTGATGCCAAGTTTGTTCATCTCGATCGGAGCGGACCGACGAAGGATTGAGATTTTTCACTGAACTTCCTGAAGGAGAAGGCGAGAATTAGACAGAATTAAAAAGTCGCTAGATCGAGGGCTCTGTCTGTGAGATCCCGAAATGGCTCCGATGGGGCGGTCCACGGTGCCCCTCGTCCAAGATTGAAAGTTGAGGAAATATGAGTACGAGTCCTACGAATGATCGTAGAAAGCTACAAGAGCATCCGAGGACCGGGGAAGATATCCCTCACTTGGGAGAGATATTCTTTCTGTGTCCCTGAACATCGGATATCCGCTTAGGCGCCGGAAAAGCACGTGACCAAGCGGACCTCAGTGTCGGGATACGGTGTATAATCTTATTATCTGAACGCGGCCAATCGACGGTCAACAATACGGCAGACTTCCTTCGCATACTTTGTTGTTGCCATGGTCTGCTGAATAATACGAAGGCGTTGCTATCCGGACAACAATGCCGACGGACATTCCCTCGCTATGGAGAACACTCCGCCACAGCTATGCCGGTGAATGGGACCGGCGTCTGACTAAAGAAGCACCTCGTGTCCGTCACGGTCCCGATTCGTATCGAGAGCAGACCCATAGCCAGCTCGTGTCACCCCGGCTTGAATCCCGCTCCGTAGCCATCTCTGATGAGACGGCCTTTTCGGGCCGAGATGGAGGAGGCGCCTCGGCAGGAAGTTTGAGAGCTGAGGGCTCATTGGGCAGTGAGTTCTAGCAAAAAGTTCCAAGAGGATGGAACGAATAGAGCTGCGTCGAAACGAGAAAAACTCCATGTTTCGAAGTCCATGGATTTGTGCTGAATTAACCTCATTCTATTGGGCATATCACTGCCGCATTGAGTGAATGGAGCTTTCCACTCACTCGGTCAGAGATTCAAAGCGCTTTCTCGAAGTCCGATTTCGGATTGATGTTTTTTGAATTTCAGATTCACGTGGGCGTATCGAGTTATTTTTGTCCTCAAACAAGTCTCTGATCCTTGAAGCGAGTCGGAGCTACGCTCTAGTGTAGAGATTATCGCCCTCCGACTGCACCCGGAAAACACTTTTCAATGGCGGATAAATATACCTAATAGTATCCACGAAATAATCATGCTCCCTCGATTTTCGGTGCGGTATGAAGTATTGAGAGGGTGAGCTCATTTGGAAAACTCCATTCGATGAGAGAGAGAGAATGTATGGAGTTCTCTGGCTGAGAAGAATTATTGCCCTCGGAGCGGCGGCGTCGACGACGGCGTTTCGAGACGTCGTTCCTGCCGGGCATGTTCGCAGTATGCGGAAGTGTTTTATTCATTCATCGCATTAGAGGCAAATGTTGTTGCTGCTCCCGCCCTGCACGGAGCCGTACGAGCAGAGCACCGCCCATGAAGTTCCAGCCGAGCACCATGAGGCTGCGACTACATGCTGAATCAACCACTTGTCGCAAAAGACCTTTCGTGCAGGCAGCTACATCTGCGGAGTTCGCTACGTCCCGTTGGTTTATCGTGACTGTGAGGAGAAACTTTTTCAAAGCATTCGAAACTCTGGACCTCCGCGGCATTTCTACGATGAATCCGGACCTCTGAACCCCGTTCGGGTCAGTTGACTTTAACTCCCTCAATTTGGAGAACGAGCTCGAGAATGTCGTCCCCAGTGGGAATGTCCTCTCCCGTTCGGCTCGATGCTTCGGCAGTGATCCCTGGTCGAAAGTCAACCCTCAACAGGGAGTTCAACCTCGTTCGGAGAGTTCGCCGAGTGACAGCGATGCGCTGTGCGTGAGTTCAAACGGGATCATGTAAACAGTCCACGATTGCGTCACCCTGGAGAGTTCCTCGTTCCCTTTTCCGAATAGGTCGGCGATCGGCTTGACTCTCCGGCCGTATTTGATCAGGCCAACGAACTCCAAGGGAGCAAACAGGAAGACAAAGTCGAGCTCTCTTCCCGCCCGCGGTGTCCTTCCGATGAAGTCGCCTGACCGCTCGAGCAGCAGACTCCACTCATAAACAGTGTACGGCGAACGGAATTGATTAGGCTCGGGAACGGTGCGATGATCGCCAGGACTGAATTTCCCGCCCTGCGAGATTAAGGCGGTTGTGCGAGACAGTGTCTATTCTAGGGATGAATGGTCAGATTGGATCAATCGATAGAGGATGTCGCATACGGCCTGGGATTCGAGAGCGCGTCACATCCGAGAGAATGGCGTCAAGCAAAAGTTTTCGAAGTCCAAGTGCGGAAGTCTAGGAGCAGCTCGTCGTTGATCCGTTCATCGCAAAGCGGCTTTACGGAAATCGACTATTTTCGTCACGGTGTTGACCAGGACTTGTCGGTACTTTGCCCTCAAGGGCTCTGGCCAGCAGGGAGGAGAGTTTGACTGCGAGCTCTATGCGAAAACTACGTCCGAAGTGAAGTTTCCCCTCCCGTCCGGAGGAGACGAATCGCTCTCCGCTGCGATCGGCTCGGTCCCCAAGGATCTATCCGGGAACTTGGACGAGCCCAGCGTTGAAATTTCATGAGACCCGCGGCGCGCTTTAAAGTGCGTCTGACGATGCTAGTTCCGTGACCTTTGGATGTGCATCCGATTGCAAATGCACTGGAAGGATGACAGTTGCGTAGGGAACCGATGCCAGAGACCCTGTGGAGTTGTCCGGACTTGTCCTGCGGTTTCTTGGAGGAGCGAGCTCGGTGAAAGACTGAATCCCGCCAAGGTCCGAGTCCACGTTTGTCGACCACCTAATTGTTCAAAACCAGCTGTCTCCGCGGCTGACTGAGACAAGAGTCACTTTTGTGCTCGGAGCTCAGACGAGGGCGCCTTCGCGCGGTCGTCGCACCGCGGTGGTCTTATCGGAATCTCGCCTCTAGACGATGTTTTTCGCGAGTGCGATCGATGTGCCGGGGCTTCTGCTCCCTGGTGTTATGATAATGATAATAATAGTAGAAATGTCGAGAAAGGAGATGAGAGTCGAAAATCGTTTATGCGAGAAAGTTCCGCCCACTGAGACCCTCGATGCCGATGGTGATCGAGTCCTCCGCCACCGTGGCGAAAGAGGCTTCACGGGAGAATGGTACCTACCCTCAATATCTTGTGCAAACAAGCGGGAATAGCGGCGCTATCGTCCAGGGTTGCGGTTTCTTCGATTGGCTCATTCTCCTCTCCAATGACCAATCGATCGCCAGCATCTCCGTACGATAGTGCATACCATCTGCTTAGTGTAATGTTCAAGGGTTTTGGAGAGACCATATGCCACAAACGAAGAACTTTGATCGTCTATCTAAACAAAGCCGACCATGGCTAGAGGGAGCTCTCAATCCCGACCAAAGTTCTCCGCAACTCTCTCTCTTTTGTGAGATTATGAGGTTGTCTAAATTATGAGGTCGTTGAGATCATGAGTCATTCTAGAGCTAGCCTCCCTCGCTCACTACAGAACGACACGCGCGAGCTCGCAAGGCGAATTTCCTCGGCAAAAATGCTCTGGTGGGAGCGTGACCGTGTTTTTATTCTTGCCAAGCTTGAGGTCAGTTTCCAGCTGGCGAAAGTTGCCATGCCTCTCTGCCCTCTGCCCGGAGAGCGATCCTTCGGAACATTTACTCTCCATCGATATGAGAGGCTCCTAATTACAACGTGACCGAGAATTCTGAGACCCTACTTCCTTGCCAGGTTTCCGCGGCGACCCTCCACCGCCGCTCACAGTTGGCGCCTTCAGATCCCCCACCCGCCGAATGGAGACGATTCTCTGTCGATCCGCAGATTACTACCTTTGAAGTACTCCAGAACCTTCTAGCGAAAGCTTTCGACATCAAAGGGTAAGTGTAGAAATCTCTGAGAGACGGGCCGTTCTATACTCAGCTCCCTGGGAGGCGGTGGATTACACGCGGTCATGAACGCTTTACGCGTCCCAGCGGACGGCGTAATGAAGTCGTAAACCGTGATCTGGAGGCACGCTGTCATAAAGCTCCGCTGTGTACCTCTGGTTACATCCGATCTCTCCCAGCGAGACTTCCTCCGAGGTATCGGAGAAGAACTCCACGACTCGTGACAACGACTGACTGAATCACCGACAAGGGATCCCAGGAACTCGCCGCCACGGTAACACCCATTCCCGTTCATGGTTTCGCAGGGATTTCACGATACATTATTTGGCCAAAGATGACGAAGGCAAAGAAACATATCTCGGTTTGCTATCCGACTGGGACCTGGACGCCGCCTTCCTCAGTTCCTCGATGCCGTGCCTGAACCTCCTCATCGATCTCAAACCATTCGACGAAGGTAAGCTCGCCACCATTGGAAGTCTCGTCCGTGGGAGCAGTACTTGGGAGCAGCTCGTGAGGTTTCGGCTCTCGATACGACTCCAACGAGTAGACTCGAAGACTTCGTGACCACGAATGATTTCAGAAAACCTCACGAAGCAACTCCTTATGTCGGCTCAGTTGAGATCGAAACCTGGCGTTTTACATTTCGATCCACTGAACAAGGAAAATCTGAGTATGTTTCGGAAGCTCACATTGACCTCTGGCGTGCCCCCTTTCCGACCACCAAAGCAAATACTCCAATCTGGGTCTGGGCGCGATCTGGGTGTTCTCTCGATATGGTGAAGGTGTGAAATGGAAGAAACTCAGAGCGTTCGATTGATGGCGGAGGCATGCGAGAAGATTCTTAAGATTTTTGGGCCGATGGGGAGTTCTCAGTAATGTCGCGATTTCACCGAAAACTGTGTGCTTCGTCAGTCGCTGTATTTGTCGTCGCAGGAATTCCTCCGAACCCGCACCAGGAAAACAAATTCCCATCTCCACGACGCAATTTAGAGCCCCTCCCGCAAGACACTGATCCCTGCTCGATCTGTTTTTCAGGTCTGGAAGGCTGGGACGTGATAACACCAGCCGATCTTGTGAAACCTCCTCTTGTCAGCCACGTACGGAACAACGCGCAGCAGACAGGCAATTTTCTCATGCAACAGGTGAGACTCTGAGTATTGGCTGATATATATTCCTCAGTAGTTCTATTCACCTATCGGGGTCGTTCGGACCGCGGAATGAATCTGAGCGGAGGCCCGGAACGCTTGCGGGTTGCGAGGCGGTAGATCTTGTCATACGCATTTCGAAGATGCCGTCAGTATTTCTCGCTCTAGGGTATCGAATTCTTTTCTTTAAGTTGTACAGAGTCGTTCCCTCGTCTGTCACGGTGAGTTCACTCTCCTCGAGCAGCGAGCCACCTGAGTTATTCTTCATGTGGCGGAGGTTTCGAGCCCCGAAACCCAAAGGCGGCGTTTGGGTGATATTGACGAGATGGATATCCTGGGTTAGCGCATGGGGCATGGGCGGTGACGGCCACTTCTTTCTCGAATGCTCCCCAAGTGAAATAGTGAACTTTTGAAGCTTTTCCCACAATGGAAGCGATTTGTTCCAGATGGAGAGAACCTTGAAATCATTTAGCAAAGTTCTCCGGGGACCAGAGCTCTCCGGCTACTTGAATGGTGTGACAGAAAGATACAGAGCGTCGAAACCGCCGATGAGCAGAAGAGAATGGCAGAACTTTCTCGATTGTGAGGGTCGTCTGATTCAGCCTCAAGAACTTCGACGGTCGGTTTTCCGCGGTGGAATTGAACCTTCTCTACGGAATGTAAGTTCTATCTCATCCGCTCTGGATTGGGTCAGTCGAGGGACCTAGGGTCGGGATCAAGAACGCTTGAGTCAGAATTGGGACAGACTATGATGGTTTGTACGGATCCTCGTCGCACGTCATTTAGCGATCTCGAAAATCTCCTCCGACAGATTGTGTGGAAACACGTGTTGAACGTTTACCCCGATGACTACACTAAAGACCAGCGAATTCAGTACTTGAAACGACAAAGCAACGAGTACTACAAACTGAAGGCTACTTGGACAGATATGCAAAAGCAGGGTATCGTTACGGAAGAAATGCAGTATATCATGAACATGGTCTCCAAAGATGTTCTGAGAACCGACCGCACACACCGATTCTACGCGGGGAGTGACGATAATAAGAACGTCGCCAAGCTGTACTATATCCTCACGACATTCGCATTGAATCATCCGTCGGTGTCGTATTGTCAAGGTATGTCGGATCTTGCATCGCCAATGCTCGTCACGATGAACGATGAGGCGCAAGCATACATCTGCTTCGTTGCGCTAATGCAGCGATTGAAGCCCAACTTCAACATCAACGGTCTGGCCATTACCGAGAAATTCGCTCACCTGTCCCTGCTGTTACAACATTACGATCCGGAATTCTTCGAATATCTGAAAATGAACGGAGCCGATGACCTGCTCTACTGCTATCGGTGGTTGCTGCTCGAGCTGAAGCGGGAGTTCTCCTTCGACGACGCTCTCTGCATGCTCGAGGTGCTCTGGAGTTCGCTTCCACCATCGCCGCCGGAGAAGGAGCTTCCTCTGTACGAAATACGTTTCGGCAAAGATTCAGCGCATCCGCAGAGTCCACGTGTGCTAACCCGCGAGAATCCCTACACTAAGGTCCGTCGGATCCGCAAGCAGAGCTCGTCGTCGTCGCTGCTGTGCGGAACCCCGAAAGTGCACAACGGAGTGATCGTGAACGAGCCCGACAACGATGAGAGCAGGAGGAGCAGTCTGAATGAAATCACTGATGACTCGCAAGACTACAACCCCATCTCAGATTCAATCGCTCATGAATTGCGCATGGATCTCGAGAATCTCAATAAAACCGTTCTTGGCAATACGAAAGACGCGACGCCGCAACAGTTCACCTTCGACAACATCATCGAGGAGGGCAACACCTTGCTCGAGAACGACGGACCGTGGAAACAACGGAAGACGTGCCAAGGTTTTTGCGGCACGCCTGACGAACAATGTGAATTGGATTTCGACAGCGTCGAGGGTGAGTCTCCTGTCACGATCAGCGTTTATTCATTAAATCCTGGCGGAGGGTGAATCCGAAGTAGATCATATATGGAGTTGCATGATCTGAGCGTATATTCCCTGAGAACAGCTTCTCAATCGGCGCCCCCATCCTCAGGTGAGACCACTCAGAATCATGGCAGTCGCCGTAACTTAAGTTGTCAATCATCACTGGATCGTCGGCGGAGCGGTTCTTCAACGTCCGCGTCGACGTCTGCATCTTCGCACAGTGATCTCGTGCAAGAAAAAGCCGACGATTCTGATTACGAAGATGACCATCACGCGTACAGGTATGTGAGATGATTTCCCAGTGTCGCCGACTCCATTCTACGAGCGAAGCACGCATAGAACACTCTCGAGAGTCGAGCGGCAGGAATAGGGTCCAATGACTCGAATTTTGAAGAATCGAGCTGAGGCGAAAAATGTTCAGGTGCGAGTCGGGACGGCCCGGCGTCCACGCGATCCGTATCTATGACGTAGATTATGAGATTGTCTGAGATCTTATCACTAGAGCCGAGCTTTGAGCTATCAAGTCGAAAAAGTTGGACTCGAGGGTCAATAACTTCCAACACACGCTACCAGTGACTCACCCCGTTAGCCGAAGATTTCAATATTCGCCATTCTCTCGGATCGTTAGGATCCGTCGATTTGAGCGAGACGAGCGTACACCGCCTTCTCGATCCGTCTGATGTTCATAAGGTGAGTCTCTCATCCGACCTTTTTTCTTCCAGATCCAAAGCGCCTCCGACACGATCCGAAGGGTACTGCTCAGAGGCAACTCTGTCTTCGAAGGAAGTTTCCTGTCAGGAAGACTCTCGATCCGTTTTGGATTCAGGTGTTCTGGATTTTTCTCGGAAGTCTCGATCACTTCTGCCGCCCCCCGGTCAGTTGGGCGGGAGCAATCCCTTCATGATGTTCTTGTGCCTGACGTTGCTCTTGCAACACCGCGATGTAATCATCCGGAAGCGCATGGATTACAACGAGCTCGCAATGCACTTCGATAAGATGGTGCGAAAACATAACGTTCACAAAGTTCTGCACGAAACCCGAATCCGATTCGAAGAATATCTCCGACTCGGATGGGAAGCTTCGTGGGAGGAACTTGTGTAAAATCTGTGATTCCAGTAGGTAGAATTCATTCTCTGTGAGGAGAGCCTCTGTCTGCCATGCCGAGATTCAGGTGGACGAATGAGTGTTCCTCTGATGAGATTCGCATTCCAAGCCACTCGCTCCGCTTTCGCTGTCCCCGAACGTGCTCGAGGGATAAATTAGGAAGGACGCGCTCCTGACTCCGGTTTTTCCGCAGTGTGAGAGCTTGTTCCACGCGGACCGTCCCCCCCCCCCACGGAACTGGACCCAACCATTCAGAAAATTCTGATCTCTGAATTTTCTGACCGGATAAGCGCAGGTGTCTGAGAAGCCAGATTGAGAAGCGTTCTCCCGACGTGAAGCGCCCTCAATGCTTGTACACTTATAATCGGCTTTTTTTTCTTCCCGTGATTACCGTTGTGAGTGGGCTGGCTCGCCAGCTTTGGACGAAATTCATCGTGAGATTCCTCAACTTTTAATCCGAATTTTCTGCCCGTCTCATCAATGAGTAGTTGCCTCAGATTACCTAAGATGTTTTGTAAGAAAATAGTTTCAGCGGAAAGAATTCTCAGCAAGAAATTTTTGTTGTAAATATTTCGCCGTTCATGTAAATACGAAATCCGAATATCGGAAAATAAAGGATTGAGGGCTCCGGGATCGGAAGCTCGCGTATTCGGAAAGAATGCCTGTATTTACACCTTCGGGAAAGGATCCGCACTCCGATCCGTCAACACAACAATTCTATCGGTCAACAACGATTATAATCAATATTCGTCCGAGCCACGCCTGCTTGAAGTCGATTGCAGCGTAGAACTATCTGCAGGACACTCACTCGAAGAATATCATTCCGTGTGCTTCTACCTCTCAGATAATTGCAACAATTATGATAGCAATCATCAGAGCGATAACGATGACCCAGAGGCCGCAGGTATCGGTCGTATATACAAGTTGCCGAGTTCGTTGTGTATTGTGGATCAGACGAGCATTCACGGACTCCATCCTCTCCCCAACGTCGTCGATAATTTCATTGTGCAGATCGATTTCCGTCGTAAACTCCTGCGCCAAGTTTTTCGTCCTCGACATGATCGCTGCGAGTTGATCCAACCCCGCATCTTGATCTGGAAATCGTCGAAACGATAAGCGCCTCATTAAGCACTCCTTGGTTTCAGACTTCAATAATTATTCCCCCAACCAATTATTCCCCCACGTGCCAGAGCACCGCTGAATGGGGTCCGGACTAGCGGTCGAATCGAATCTTTCTCCGATCACTGCTCGTTTGGTTTGTCGTGAGCCTTGGCTAGTCCAGGAACTTGGTTCCCACCTTTCATATACTGTTGCTGAGCTTGAATTCGCTCTTCGCCGGTACCGACATTGTCGTCCCCCGCTTCCCCCCAAGACACCGTTTGCTCAGGCTGAGGAGCATCACCAAGGAGTTCTTTTCTAAAGTAATTTTCCCGTGGATTCGTCTTCGATTGATTCTCCAAGTCCAGATGCCGGGCTTCGGCTCTCCGTAGCAAACTGAGTCGTCGAGTGGCTTCAGCTTCCGTTCTGGAAGGGATTCGAATGTGAATGAGTTCCACGCGTGTGGCTCTATTTTGGAGGCGTCCTTGAGAATTTCATCAATAATCAACGGGAAGGAAACTCAGTAAGGGGTAACGAAGTTCCTACATCTCTCCGGTGATGGACTGTTGATTTAGGAGACTCGACAGTTCTTGCAGCTGCTCTTTGACATTTTCCAGCTTCTCTTTGATTTCTCTGTTGGATCTTATGAATGCTCTGCTTCCTTTCTGATGTTGGTCACGGCGTCGGAGGTTCTCTGCGATTTGGATGAAGTCCGTCTCGAGGACGCTCAAATCCCGAATCCTGGAACCAGGATCATTATTCTCTTTAGTTTTCCCGCGAGGACAGCTGACAGAGGGATACATTGCGGAAAATTTCGTCAGGGCTCTTTGATTCGCCAAGGGGCACACGTCTGGAGCTACTTTTGGCTTCCCTATCCGATACGGCCTACCGGACTCCCGGTTATGAGAGTATTTATTTATGCCCTGATAGAGCCGTGCGGTCCTCTTCAGAGCAGCTCGAAAGAGATTTAGGAAGCATTGCGGCCTCGATTCTCTTCCCAGTTAGCTCGTCGGAATACTCTCGAATACTTCCTCCGCTCCCGAGTCATCGACCTGCGATTGTGAACTACCGATTGACTCCTATGATCAAGCTGCCGCCTGTCACCCGTTCATAGGCTAACACCTGATAGGTCCGAAGCTCAGTGGGATAGGTTACTGACCATAGATCGCCGGAGAACATTATGTCGACCAGTGGCTCTGCGCACACTCGAGAGAATTTATTTTCTTTTCATCCTCTCTCGGCTTATGTCATCTCGATTCTTTGAAAACGAAATCATACAGTCCTTAGCCGTGCTTTCTCTACGCGGATCCTCTCCGTTCGAATGTCTGCATCCCGCTTGAACGGTGTGAGACGACATCGGGCTCGTCGTCGTCTGCAGGGTCTCGATGAATTTTCTCGGGGCGCGATCCAATTTCTATAGTGATTTGAAATTACACTCGAATATTCCGCATTTCCCCCACCCCGCATGCCTCGGTGAGAGACCCCCGAATTTTTATAGAACTAACTGAATGAAGAAGAGAAAATTCCGCTTGGATTTGTGGGTCTATTCTCTCTCCCCCTGCCGAGTACCACAAGGACCGTTCGCAAAGGCGGTGGAGAGGGTGCTTCATGCGCTCGCTGGCCGAAGGCATTCATTGGCCGGTGTTTATGTTTAGATCAATAAGAGCCGCAGACCGCTGAAGAGATGAGTTTTGCTCTCTCCGAGTACCATGGAGTGAGCTCTTAAATTCTTCTCAGAGTTTCAGTGAGACCATTGCCTACCGAACAGTAAGAGGAGGCGAAACTTGAATCCGAGAAAGTTTCCGTAAACCAGTGCTCGACTACTTTATATCGGTCCAAGGTGAATATAGTGTCCGGCAACACAACTAGGTATCTCGTGTACATCCGTCATGTGCGATGTTCGCTCCGCCTTCGTTATTTCGAAATCGTCAGAGATCGAATAACAAGGACGGACAATCGATTTAATCAGTATTTTCGATGATTTGCTCTATCCATTCGGTATCTTACCCCGTATTCTTGGGTCGAATCAGATATTCAACGAGGCTTCTCATTGTCCCATTAGATCCACGGAATCTCCGAGAAAATGTCCAGCGTCGAAGGTTCTCCGCCCGCATCGCCGGCCCAGGATTCCACTCCTGCGAGTCCAACCAACGACAATGCCGGGAGTCCTAGCAGGAGTCGCTCGGGGAGCGTCGAGTCCGCAGCCTCACGGAAGTCCCGCTCTGGGAGCAGATCGCCATCTCCCAAGCGGTCGAGAAGCGGCTCCATCCAGTCCAAGAGTCGGTCCCCTTCTTCGGGACGATCCAGAAGTGGATCGGCCGACCGCAACAGATCGCGTTCCGGCTCAGTCCAATCCAGAAACCGCAGTGGATCTCGTTCGCGATCGGGCTCCCGAAAATCGAGGAGCAGATCGGCGTCAGGGTCCCGCAAGTCGAGGAGCAAATCCGGCTCGAAGTCAAGGTCCCGCTCACGTTCGAAGAGCGGATCGCGGCACAGTGGAGCTTCGAGGTCCCGGAGTGGCTCGCGCCGATCCCGCAGCGGATCGAAGTCCAGGAGTCGGTCGCGCTCACAGAGCGGCTCTCGTTCTCGGAGCGGGTCCCGTTCCCGCAGTGGATCCCGCCGGTCCCGCAGTGGATCCCGCGGCTCCAGAAGCGGCTCGGGCAGCAGATCCCGCAGTGGTTCCCGGAGTCGTTCGCGAAGTCGCTCCGGAAGCGGTTCTCGGAGTCGATCGCGGAGCGGACGATCGAAGAGTGGCTCTCGATCGAGAAGTCGATCCCGGAGTGCCAGTGGATCGCGCAGCAGGAGCCGGTCACGGAGCGGGAGCCGTGCCTCCGCTCGCTCCAGATCCGGCAGCAGGAGCGGGAGCGACGAGGAAATGTCGATACAGCGAAAGAAGAAAAGAAAGGTCAATCGAATCGGCGACGAATCCGACAATGAAGGTCCAAATGAGCTCGTCAACGAAATTTTTGGCCAGAGCGGCGACGAAGGCGAAGAAGAGGCTGCACCGGCCGCTTCGGGAGCTAAAAACGCCGAGAAACCCGCCGAGGGGTCCAAGCAAGTCGAAGATTCCTCGGACGACGATGCGCGCGCACAGGGCAGCAGTATGTCTGATTTCGACCTGATGCTCATGCGGAAGAAAGCTGAACGCGGCGGCCGCCGAAAACGGAAAGATGTCGACATCATCAACGATACCGATGACATGATCGCCGACCTCATCAAGGAGATGAGGCTCCGAGCCGAGGAAGATCGCGAGCTCAACAGGAAAAGACAGGCCGCAACCAAAAAACTCATGTATCTCAAAGAAGTTCTGCCGCATTTGCGACGTGTCGATCTGAAGATGGCATTCCTCGATCAGGGGGTGCTTACCGTCATCTGTGATTGGCTGAGTCCGCTTCCGGACAAATCGCTGCCGAATCAGAAGATCCGAGACGAAATGCTCAAGCTCCTCTGGGAATACTCGAGCGAAGGGCTCGATCTCGGACTGCTGAAATCTTCGAAAATCGGCCGAGCCGTGAGATACCTGTCGAAGCACCCGAAGGAGACCAAGGAGAATAAGATGAGGGCCACGAAGCTCGTGTTCAATTGGGCTCGTCCGATCTTCAACCTAAACACCGACTACACGACCGTTTCGAAAGAAGAGCGCGAATCGAAGGACTACGAGCGTCTGAAGGCGACAAGACGGAAAGACCTCGAAGGAGACCCGGCGAGCAAGAGACGCAAAACAGAAGACGAAAGCGTCCAAGCGAAACCGGGCGAGCCGGGCTTCGTGGCTCGAGCTCGGGTGCCGAGACCTTCTATCAAGGACTACGTGGTGCGGCCCAAATGGAACGTCGAGACAGAGTTCAGCGTGAAGAACGCAGAGAAGAAGAAGAAGTCTCGATTAGACAAACATGTCCGAGCGTTCCAGGAACGCAAACGACACTCCGCGGGTCAGAGATCAGTTGCCATAAGTATTGAAGGCAGGAAAATGGCTCTTTAGAAAACAGAAGGAATCCAATTTTTCGTCGAACTCCTACATGATAGACCCTTGAAGTTTACGAGTTCTCACGACGAGGCTTGCGTTGTAAATAAATTTAAAGGTTATAAACTTTCAACTCGGAAAGAAAACTTCTCCTCCTACGTGATATCGAAAATTATAGAATTATAGAAAGTTGTGAAAAAAATCCCTCCCCGTTCGGAATCATATCTCAGGAGCCCTGGTTGATGGGCATTTATTATTTCCGCATGATTTACATGGCTTTCTGTAAATTTTACAAGGCGTGAAGCTCCAGCCGCGGTGAGACTCAACGCGAGCGCTGACGATCTTCACATCTCAATCAATAATAATTATCCCTAAGCAGCAGATATCGTATCCGACCACCGAGACGAGCTCTCGTTAGCGTTCTGCAAGCGCTCATGCATATTCCGTGCTGATGAATTGGAAACGTTTGCATCCGGAACAATAATAGCGGTCGAGACGTATATGATACAACCGCATGTGGCGGTCGACCGAGCTGTCTCACATGGAAATCCACATGTACCTACACCTGTAAGACACTCCCGATGATGGAAATCGTGGATCATCTACGTTGGGTGAAAAACACTTCATGAACTGGGGACGTAAGGTGCTCCGAGAAACTGGTCGGCGATGCGACCAGCTTCCCTCAGCCCCGAGAGGAGGGCACCGTGGACTGTTGCAGGGTAGTTCCGGATAGTGTGCTCGCCAGCGAAAAACAATCGTGCCGGGGCCTGCGGTTGATTGTTGGTGACCTGGAGGGGGAAATAGCATTGGAGAGGTGTCTCTTTGGGATATATGGAGACGTCTCATGATGGAAGAAACTGTGGTTACGAGCGAACCTGAGGCGTGACGGGAGCGGCAAGCAGATCGTAGTCGTTCCCAGATGCTCCGGTCGCGACATAGGAATAGCTTCCCCTGGAGCAGGGATCCGCATTCCAGCGGGTTACGACGGTTTCTTTGGGTTGAGGCACCAACGAGTTGCCGAAAATTCCTGGAAGGCCGCCAGAGTCAGGAGTTCGATCCGCAAGTCAGACGATTAGCGAGGAAGGGGTTCCCAGAGTCAGGTACCTGAACCGTGAACGATGCTCACCCTTGAGGACCGCAATGCAGCGCCCTATGATGACGTCGTCGCTGACGTTCTCCATTATTGTCGCGGCTTCACCGGCTACCAGCGCAAGAAGCACCGGCGCTTTATAGAGACTCCAGAAGAGGAAAAGCTCGCCGCGACTGCCAGTCGTCGAACCGACGTGGCCGAACAAATTTGCCGACGGGTCCCAGAAGAACCTATCGAAACACAGCACAACCTTGTTCAGGTTGCCGAAGCCGAGGCGCTGTATAGACGAGACTTTCCACTCTGGAAGAGGCGGTACGAAATGTACCGCGTTTTGGGAGTTGACTGTAGGTTGGATGCTCTCTTTGAGGACACCCAGGGGCAGTGTGCACAGGACGGCGTCCGCCTTGAAGGTCTGGAGATTCGTGTTCCCCTTGGGCGTGGCTGTTGTCACCACAACTCCCGTCGGTGAGATCTCGATCTGTCTCACGGTGTGCGATCTCTTGATGTCCAAGCCCTCGACAAGCGCCATCGGTACGCAAGAATAACTGCGGATAGGAAGAAAATCTCATGAGCATGCCGGCGTACTCTGCGAGCAATGCGGTCGATGACTTTGCTCCCGAAGATCCGGAATTCCTCGATCCAGTCGATTCCTGAGTGAGACGAAGAACTCACCCGTTCCTGACAGTCAGATGAGATCCGGAGAATCCGAAGTCGTCGTCTTGATCCCAATGACGGAGCGACAGGTTGTTTAGCGGTGTTGCGTTCGCGAATTCGAGATTGGCGAAGTGCCAATCGAGAACTCTTCTATCCCCAGACGATAGATAGACATCAGACGGCGGTGTATTTTCGAGTTCCATGAGTTTGTCCTCGAGTTCCCTCTGCTGTTCGGCAAGATCGTCCCATTCCTGGAGAACATTCGAAGTTCAGGGAGCTGCGGGGCACGTTCCAGACTCGAAACCATCTGTATCCCGCCGCGCTTTGGGAACGCGCGGGATTCGTGTGCCGTCGGAGATTGGATGCGAATGAAACGAATCAGCATATGAGAGATGGGCTTACCTGGCAGAAGTTGTTGAGATCGTAGGTTTTGGAGCGCAAGTCGAATTCTTTGACATCATCGGCAGCTTTCTTGTCTCGCAGCTGCTTATTGGCCTGTTTTATTATCTCCCTGAGCCCGATCATCTCCTGCTGATTTTTCTTCAACTTCTCTTGCAACGATATGATCGTTTTGTGATGCTCAATCTGTTTGTCCTTGATGTGTTTGTCTTGGAGTTTGATGACCCATTCCAGAGTATCGCCCAAAGACACCGGTTTGCCTGAAGATAAAGTTCCACGAGCGTTAGCCTGAACTGTTCCGAAGTCAAGCAGCGAAGAGTCGACATAAATAATTCCGGATGAAATCACTTACTGTCGACTTCATTGAAACCGATGTTGTGGGAGAGGTAACTAGTTGCCTCCAAAAGGCGATTGAATTCCCTCTCTACCATCTCATCTTTCTCCTTCTCAACGGTCGAGCCTTTACTTTCGAAAAGTGGACATTTCTGTTTGATCTTATGAAGCTCCATGTGGATCTGCTTCGACAGTATTGTCAACGGGTTCCCCCCGAGTCCCGTCACGACCATGGCTCCCAAGTCGGCAATATAGTTGGCTTTGCGGAATGTGGCAATGCGACCTCCAACACGGTCTCGGGCTTCCAGCACCAAAACCTAGGACGAGAGAAGTTTTTTTCAGGATGCTCAAGATGACTTGTTTGCGGTGCAACCAAGACTCACACGGGAGAAAGTGGCCTAGGTTATCGCCGGAGCGTCATAAAATGGACAGGCAGACCCCACATCACGATTTTAGGAGGACATATGGAGAATCGCTCGATATGGACTTGCCTCCATTCCAAATTGCTGCAGCTGTTGTGCAGCGATAAGTCCCGATATTCCAGCGCCGATGACGATGACTTTCCCATTCTTTTTCTCGGGTACAGGTCTGAGCCTCTCGAAAACACCGAAATTGATGAGTCCTTGTCTCTCCAGATACGAATGCACCCTCCTGACCAACCCTCGGTCCGAATTGAAGGGAACCTCTATGCGCTGAAGTGCGTTGTCATCTGTCAGAAAGAAGAGCCGTTTAGCGTTCACCTACCTGGGCTTGACATTGAGAAGGATCATACAGGGACAGACAAATTACTCACAAGTGAGCTCCTGTCTGGGGTTCTCGAGCCAGAGTTGGAGCAGTCTGTTTCTGATGTGGAGGAAAACTTTCAGGGTTTCCGGACCACTATTCGCCACATCGGTGAAACCTGAAACATTCAGGAAGCTCAGAGGACAATGCTTCGCATTCCGTAGAACGGGTGAGTAAACAATCACGAAGAGATCATATGGACCAATCGCTCCAGGAGAACCTCGACGGTGCAGTTCTCACTCACCAGCTCCTTCTTGGGCCGTCATCTTATCGTAAGGGAGTCGACTCTGGAAAGCAGCTCCCTCCAATCCTGTGGGTTCGTCCTGATCGCTGTCGATCTCCTCAATTTCACCCCCACCGCCGCCCCCTCCTGCTGCGATGGCATTAGCAGTAGCGACCGCGGCCGTCGTATTGGTGTTTATTGTCCTGCGATCCTCAGGTGAGTCTCCTTCTCCCTTCAGAATTCAATGAGCTTATTAAAGATCGAAGCCACATTTTCCATTCAGTCTTATTCGTTCCACGAGACTAATGTGATCGAATCTCCTCCGGCCATCGTTCTCCGGGAGAGCCTAAAGGTGGGGTCTCATTGCTTCCCCTCTGAGGGTCAGATGATCGTATCCGGGAGCTCTCCGCGGGATTTGATGGTGACCTCGATTCCCGAGAAAGTTGTGAGATATTCATCCGAGGGGAAACTCCTCCCGGACTTTTGAGAACTCTCTTTTTGAAAGTTGAGCGCTGGTCGTGGACCAACCTTCACGGCTGCGGTCACTTGTTGCCGCTCTGTGCGCCGCCTCATCAGAGTGAACAGTGGCCGGAGCACCCTTACTCGTACCAATTCATGGATAGTGAGGCCCGTGAAGGATTGCAAAAGTTTCTCATCCAACTTACCAGACGTCTCTTCTTGTTTGCAGTTCGAGTTTTACGCCGCGATGACGAGTCCTGGGAGTCCTCGGCATTCTCAGAGAGGACTCCGCTCGCCGGTTCCGTTGCCGACATCATTCCGTTCGGTGGACACCAGGGCAAGTATGTTCAAAACTGAACGAAGGTTTCTATCCTGGGGTAGCTCGTTTCTCACAATCTGACACACCGGAGAGACCAAATTTTCAAGTTTCAGTCAACGCTTCGGGCCAGTGGCTTCATCCGAGGAGTTTCTCAGGCTGCTTCAACTGCCGCCGTGGTGGTGGTAGTGTTGTTGCTCTCTGTATATGCTTTTCAGTCGTCGTAGATCCTGCTCTCTCCCCTCGCGCGCAGGAACAAAATACCACACACACAGCGCCGCGGCGGGATTTTTTTCGGCCTCGGCGGAGAGCAGACGAAACAGGATGACAGCAACATCTTGATCTTGACTGACCACTAAACGCGCTTTGTTGCCAGTGGAGCGCGGAAATTCGAATGCTAGACCTCATCAGCCGCCATTCGCGAATGTCGCTGCTCAAGGGCCGTCAAACCCAGGTTCGCTGAGTCGGGAAACTCGCTTCCAAATTCCTCTGGCCTCTCGGAATAGATCGATTCCGAGAACCGTCTCCCCAGAGAAGCGCGGGTTTCATTGGCGCCTGATGGATGCCGGCCGGCGCGAAGATACGGTCTTGGAACCCTTCCTGGACGGTCCTCCCCATCAAGAAGAGCATCCTCCAGGAGGTTCCGGAAGGAACGAGGTCTGAGATTCACCCCAACGCTCACGATTGATAGGCGGGGCTCGAACGGGCAAATGTTCCTTCCAGGTCTTCTCTGGAAGGAACGGTTCCATGACGTCGTCTTGGAGTTTGCATCTCGAACTGCCCTTCGAACCTACGCTGCCGAGCGTCCCTAAAACATCCGAGCCGTTGGGTATCCAGTGCGCTCTCGGGATCGTGTATGCTTCCAAAATGATATGAGGGCAACTGGTCCATCTTGCAGAGACCTACATCGGCTCTCCGAAGCACAGTACTGATAACGATGATTGCTCGGAAGAATGGTCCAACCTGAGATGGTAGATTTGGACGGGTGGTTCATGTGTCGGCGGGGTGGGAGCCTGCCGTCGAGGACGACCCTTACGGCCCATCTTGTGCCTGGACTTCCATCCTAGAGGCAACAGTGGAGCTCATGCAGTGGTTGTCGGATTCACATGCAGTCGGACCCGCTAATGAGACAACCGGATGAGAGAAAATCGTATACAAGAGACAGATCTCGATCCCCTGAAAACCTTGCTCATAAGAGAACCGGATTTGGGAAAAAAAATTAGATGTGAGGGAAAAACGGATCCACGCCATGATGGGATCCTCTGATGAGAGAAACCCTTCCGAAATTCCCCTTCCGAGCCTTCCTTCCCCCAAGTTACGAGATTTATTTTGCCCCACTCCTGGTTCTGGTTGTTCCACTGACTGATACAGATTGATACAGACTGGCTCATATGAGCAAGGTCTCACCGAAGGCATCCGTTCCGCCTGCCATGGCTGGTACTCACAAATCCCAAATGCGTGCCCGAGGAGCTTTTCCAGGTGGCCCACTGATCAAGAGGAAAGCCGGGCAATTGTTTGCCGATCGGATTACGAAGACTCCGACACATCCAGCGGCGGATACACGGAATCGCCGCCCCCAGGCTCAATCAGGACCGCCGCCCTGATACAACCCATCTGGGAATGAATCCCGATTCTTCGCGGCGCTTGCTCCATTTTTTTAGGATTTCTTTTCTATTCCACAAAAAGCCTAAGGATCCATAGACTTGGGAATTGTCTACACTTATCCAGTAAATCCCAGAAGAGGAAAAAGAAGTGTTCCTTTCCAAAATAGTTGATCGGGTATCCAATAAATAATGTCTCGCTGTTCGTTCCTGCGACGGCTCCTCGCGGTTAATCTGGCAGCTTCGAACTCATGGACAGAGTGGACGTCCTCGTCTCGGTCTCGAATGATTTCACTGAGTGAATTGTCGAGGATGACAGAAGCTCCAACCAGGATTCCGCCGCCCCCCGAAAACTGCCGCGGAGTCTATAGCCTACCAAGCCTACTGGGTAAATCCGCCATTGGGGACATCCGAAGGCTTGCGATTTCGATTTGAAGAAGGTTCGCTATCATTCTCGAAGTTTGCTGCAAACGAGCTTACGCCGTCGTTGAATCCGCGGAAAATCCGAACAGTTGGATCGGCTTCTCGAATACTTCCGTGGACAGGGTCGAGCATCGAGCGCTACCTCATCAGAGGTGCTTGCTCGAGGGTTTCAAGAGCATGGAGTCGTGAGGGTTCCGACATTGATTAATGAAATGGTCGAGCTCTTCCAATCTTCCGCGGATGGGGTGTCCATGTAAGTTCTCAACATGCAGCTGCGATTTCGTTGGCAACTGCGCATTCTGCCATTTTAGGATCCCAGGAAAGAAAACTCCGGGGAAAGAATACCAATCCAGCCTGTGTGCCTTCGTGGAGCTCAGAATATCGTCTCTTCCGGCGACAGGCCATCGACGAGCGTTCCGGTGTTCTCTGAATTGACGCTTGGGCACTGGAAGCTGATCACGGAAAGGTTTCCAGAAGGAACGACGGGCACCCACCCCAGCTTAGACCGGAGCTCGAGGACATTCCCGAAGATATCTATGGATTTTTTTGCCACCTGATCCTTGGGACACGGTAGGTATCTCCGGAGACGCAAGACTTGAAGGAAAAAGCCTTGTTGCATCATCTCGTTCACCGAACCATCACCGCTGACTCCATAGATATGACTCGGAAGAAGATTCAAATGCGCCAGGGGACCTGATTTAGTTGAATATCAGAGAACTTTGAGAAACTAAAGATTGGGAATCAATAATTCATTGTGTGGCTCGCGGAGGAGCCGCTAAGGCTGGACCAAGGACTGGAGAAGAGCGATGTCTTGTATCGGATCTACCAGGGTAGGACCTTATCGAGCCGATATCAGAACTTCAAAAAGTCTTTAATTAGGTCATTGCTCTTTCACCTTTGCGATGAGACATTGCGTCTTCGACGTTCATCTGCGACCCGCGACTGAAGACTTTCCTTTTTTTGCAAAAATCTTGTAGATCTTAGGCACCTGTATGAACCCGGCCCGTACCACCGCCCGCAGGCTCATCACATGGCCAATAGCCTCACAATCCTTCAGACTGTTCCGCCATTACGAGCATCAAATGAGTCGGCAAGCCCGTGCTCTCGCTGCTGGTCCAAAGCTTACCGTGGTCTCAACTGAGCATCGAATGCGGAGGTAGCTCAGAGCTCGGTCGATAATTTTCGGTACAGATCTCGCGCTAGAGGGTGTAGTCCGAGGATGAATCCCATTGATTCGAGGCGGATTTACCCGGTGGGCTTACTAGGCTCTGGACTGGGGCGGAAGATTTCGGAGAGCGCATAATTCCGGGTCCGGGGCCACGCTCATTGGCGGCACTCCAATGGGGTCATTCTTGACCGGAACGAAGCCGTAAACGCTTCGCGGGAGCGCGGAGCCGTCTCGGAAACGAACAACGGGACCTGATGCCGTGAAAAGTACCGGATGAGATGAAAGCCGATAACCACCTTGAAGGACAGACTGTGTCTTCTCTCAATCTAGGACCGAACGGAAGGGTAGTGGCGATTCCCCCCTCAAGCGCTGTAGAGCATCAGATTTTTTCCCATATGCCTTCCATCGGGGCGGCGGTCTCAGTGTAGCTTAGGGGCGGCAAATCTGTTAATCCGTCAAAATTATCACATGGACAACATGGACTGCATTTACCAGATTTTACGGATTGCGGTGTCCTCTGGGCTTGTTCGAGATCCCTCTATGGCGAGGTATTAGCCTCGCAGTCCGCCTACGGAGGATGAAGCGTCTAATTTCGAAAAGTAAGTATGTACATCGATCGTGGGTGTCTATGCGGCAGGAAACAATGATCAGTCCTCCGACTCCATAATCTCGTTATCAGCTCGCCGCCATAAGTAACCTGCGATCCGAGCTCGACAGTTGAGCTCTGGTCAGGTTGAAACATCAGGTTAGGCGCTTGTGAACGATTCGTGGCCCATCGCTTAAGGCATTGCTGTGAGATGGTAAGCCGACCACTAGACCAGAGTCTGGTCCTAGCCGGAGAGAGGCCGGCTCGAGCATCTCTCAGATCTGAGGGCGCAGTCTGCACAGTCAGGATCTGACCGGTGTTCAGAGTGTGTTGGTTCTATCCTGTGTGGTGAAACCATCGGAGTTACGTGAGAGTGACACCGGGTGAGCGTTGCGCTTGTCGCTTGTAGATAGTATTGCTAACTTTTCGCCATAGATAAACATATGCTCATATGCAGTCGCCGGGATATTTCGAGTTGGAGCGCTGCTCTCCCGTTCGTGTGTAGCAACTGGAAATGTTTACCGCATTGGGCCCGAGAGGTTTCTGTTTATTGAGAAGGCGCGTCTACACCCCGAAGTCTGACCCCGATCGAAACGAGACCATGGTCGAGATGGCTCTTGCCGATTCAAATCTCTTCACTAGAACAGTCACTTCGGGCGAAGCGACGATTTTTATTGGAAAGAAGAAACTGGAGCTAGAAGGAAACGCGAGTACACTTCGGGACCCACACTGCCTGACATGATGTAATATGACCGAGGTGGGAAACACACCAGATTCGCAATGCATTGAGTCCGTCGATCGCTATGCCTCGCCTTTATAAATAGATTGCCCACACGTCACAGAAGCAGCTTGCTGCTAATTCAGAAGAAAAGAGACCAAATTATCCACCGAATTCCGTTCACGTGAAGTCTCGAGAGAGAATACGCTTTCCCGGAGGGAGCGCTCTATGCGAATTTTCGGCTGTTGGCTTCTTTCTTTTTGACTTCGTTTCCCAATCAGTTCTGCCCACCACGGGATCGGAGCCAACTTCCCGAGCTCGAGGACAGTCGCTAGAACGTCGAGGGCCCGCCGGTGTCGCCGATGCTTCCGACGTGAGGAGCGATTGTCAGCAACGAGTTCTATGAAGCTCATGCCTCGGCAGGGAATGTTTCTCCTCCCCGCAGTCTTGGGAACAGGCCAGAGATGAATATGGAACTGCTGTAACTATTTCTGCCGAAGGAATGCGAAAGACAAACGGCCTTCAAAGAGCCTCATAAATCCGAGCAAGGGCTGCTTGTAGGCACGTTTCCCTCATCTAAATCATTGCCGAACATTGTTGCAAGCCTGGAAGACGGAGATGGTACATGCTTTCTATTCATAGATCAGTCGAATTTGGTGTGTACCGAACGATCCAGAGTCGGGTTGAGGCGCCACAGGAGTTCTCGCGGAGAACGAGGCTGTCGGTGGATTCGGTCAGCGAACGACGCGGATCCGGACCCCGGAGGAAACTTGGACCGAGGATTTAACGGAGAATAATTATTTCCTTGCAGTGATGCATTTGTGACATGGATCAGCCTAGCTGGCATTATGCGTCGCCCCCAGACGACAAGGGTCGTCAGCAGATCGTCAGTCATCACCGAGACGTCGTCTCGGCCCCACACGGTAATAGGATCCTCACAGAAGGTGTGGTCGAGGCTGGCCCGGATGGCGGTCTCAGCACCCGTCAACGAATCGAACTTCAGGGTCAAGATTTTGTCGACGAAAAAGAGCAGCAATTCCGACAGACCATAATCGACCTGCAACGTGAGTAGTCTTCCTCAGATATATACACAGACACCCATGGCCGGGTTTCTGGAAAGCTAAACCCTGACTCGTCAAAAAAATACCGTTCTGCGCAAGAAGACGTGCTCAGATGGCTTCTTCAAATGATTGTTCGAAAGTAGAAGACCTTCTCCGTGAGAGAAACACTGTTCCAGAGTAGGTGCCGGGAATTTCGAGAATTCCGGCCCGTCATACGATAGGAAACAGGCACTTGGAAGACTTCAGATATGAAGTTTTTTAGTCAAGTGATTTATTCACAAATCGAGATGCTTCAGCTCTGACTGCGACGTCAGATGCGGGAAACTCAAAAAAATGAGCCTGCGCTCTTCGATGAGCGAAGCGTTCTTTGAACTTCGTTACGAAATCGTCAGAGTCAGAGAGAGAGAGGATCGCGTAGCAAAAACTTGTTAGTTCGTTGGTTTCACAAAATACGAGGCAACGGAACTCGGTCCCCTCAGATCTTCTGATAAATAAACGCGTATGAAGCTCCGGGGAGCCATCGGTAATTCCGGGGTCGCGGGAAGCGTCATTTGAACGACTGGGACCCGTGGAACGGTTTCGGACGTCCTGCAGATTTTTTGTCAACTGGCCCCGGAGCGGTTCCTTCTCGCTGTCGAGGATACGGAGCGAACGCGCCTAGCACATGTGACTTCCGTGACTACTGAAAATCCTCAGTCGTGTCTTCAGTTTCATTCTTCTACAATTTTTCACAAGAAACGAAAAACACGAACTGACTGTGTCCTCGGCGACGCCCAACCCCACTTTCAGATAGGCTTTCCAGGCCGCTCCTTCAAAGGGGCATTCCCGAATGTGGATTTTCCATTCTTCCACACCGCAGATTTCGGCGCATCCGAACTGATGGAAGGGGCACAGGAGTTTGACGTTGTTGTTCGCCCTGGAAGGAAGTTGCACTGTCACCTGGAGATCGCCATCAGCCGGGCGCAAAGCTCGTTCGACTGAGGTCTCGGCTCGGACACTTACTTGCGAACTTCGAGATTCCGAAACAGAGCCTGCGCGGAGCGTCGGCACATCGGACAATTGGTAACTTTGGCGCCGCACTCTGGGCAAACGATGTGTTGGTGGCAATCCAACGAGACGAAACGGGGACTCAGGGGAATCCTGTAGCAGATCACACATCGTTCAACCTTAGCGTCGGGATCAGCGAGGAGCTCGTCGCCCAGACAGAGTAACGTTTCGTCTTGAGTGCCTTCGAAGTAATATTCACGCGGCGAGGATTGGGCCATCGTTTGCCACTTGAATAAAAATTATGCCACCCCCGTGATCATCCGATAGCAGAACTCAGAGCGTCGAAGTCGCACATGCGAACACCGAGGCGAAATGTCCGTGGTAGGCACGTCTGCGTCGAGATCCAAACATATAAGCCCGTCTGCCCCTCGAGAAGCTTTCCGAACACGAGTAGGGAGGGTGCAGCAAGTTCATATTTGCGGAACCCTCTCCAGGAAATTTTCTCGAGATCGTCTGACTGACTGAAAAGAATCCAGGTCTACCGTCAAAGCTGGAAGACATGCCGCTTCTTCCGGAAATGGCGGAGCCAAGCTTTTTCGTTCCTACCTATCGGATTGAGTGCGAAACAGACTTTCGGGATAAGTCACTGGTGTGTGAACAACACACCCAGGGGCCCCGAGTACGTGTACACCAATACTTTAGGCGACTCATGAAGCCTCGCCAGCGTTTCTCTGGTGGACGCCCGCAGAACGAACGCTCATGCATTCGGATCATTCCATATCCCCGTGATCAGTGACAAATATATGTCACGAGAGAGATTTTTGGCCTAGAGATCCCTCATTCATAGGTATAAGAGATCGATATTGGCTAGGTATGAGGAGGTGTATTTCGTTTTGCTCAGCGTGATGCCGTCCTGGAGTGACGGCACAAGATGCAACGGCCCTTCACAATTCGATCGAATCTTTTCCATTTCGATCGAGACTTCCCCGATTCCGAAACTTTCTCGGAGAGACAATGCGGATCCCCCTCGGTAGGAGCACAGACAGGATATAAGGGAGTTATGATCCCCTGAGAAAATCTCCAAGCGCGGAAACTGAGGGGAGGAGGCAAGGGAAAATGAACCATCCCGGGTAAAAAACGGTATCCGTCCCTTGATTCCACTTTTTAGCAAATATTGCCATCGCCCTGAACGGCCCGTCGAGCGATGGTCCCGAGTGCGGGCACGACTCAAAGGTCACTCCAAGTATCCCCGAGCCGTTCACTCTCTCTGATGCGCTAGCGGCCGGTCTGCCGTTCGGCGGCGGATTCTACCAATGAACTAAAGGCCAGACTCCATATGTGAGGCATGATCCTCGTGAAGCCGGCGTTCGAAACACCTGGTCCCTCGTCAACCCAGACCTGCGCGAATCGACGCTGCTGTGTCTGAACGAAGACTCCCAGCCGGCACCCCTCGCCGACAGTACCTTTCCACAGAAGCCAGCGGCGGCATGGAGCGGCCGTGACCAGTCCCCATGGAGACTAGCACATTGCTGTCACACACACTGCTAGACCATGTCGACTTTTAGTTAAAATTCGAAGAAAACTTCAACGAAACACTGAGGACGATGGTGCCATTCGCTCTGTACCATCGGAACGACTTCAACGCCGTCGCTGTCATCATCCCTGGATTATTAAGTTATCTGTTTGTTACCAAATTATTATTATCGCCTTCGCTCTGACGTTGTTGGCCGCTGTTGTGCTGCTGTTGCATCTTTTACATCGACAGCAGCATTGAGTTAAGGAGCCGACCACAACGACAGCGAAGAAACGAGGGCGATTCCGTGAGTGACGTGATGTGATGGCCGATTCACCGAGCTCGCGGAGAATTCGAACACCGCTTGGGTTTCTGGATGCGACCGGCTCCGACGACGAGCTCGGTCCTAGTGTTGAGAATGGAATTCATGTGTACACTACCCACGAATACGACCGACAGATTTGCCGCAACAGAGGTGAGTTCGAGCAGTGACAGGAATCAGCTGAGACCGAACATCTGACGAAGTCTCGACGCCCGGTCGTGACAGCGGTCCGACCGGGAGCGAAGGAGCAACAACTTGTGCGAGTTAAACGAAAAATCAAAATTTGAGCGAAGAATGAATTCCCGTGGAAGCTGAAAAAATCGCCGGGAAAAAACAGCGAAGCTGTCAAGACCTTGAGTGCCTCGGTGGTGGCGATGTCTCCGTGTTTACGTTCGACAGACCGCGCGGGCCCGCGTCAGAGGCTCTATTCAGCGGACTGGTTGAATTTTTGCTCGGGCTTGATCTGCTACGATGCAGGCTCCCGATAGAAAGCTCCTCGTCTCGTAACGAGGCGTGACCTAACCAGCACCTGCGGTTCGAATCACGTTTTCACCTAATTCGGCTTCGGTCTTGAGGGAGAGAATCACGGAAAGAGCTCGGGGAAGGATCTGATTTTGGAATATAAATGTCGGAGCAGCCGAATGAAACTCCGATAATCTCGAGTCTGCTCGATACCACAGGCTATCCATGTAGATCACGCTTCAGATGCTTCACCGTCGAGCGCCGATTTTTTTTCCGACCCCGGATTTTCTGGAAATCTCGATGATCGAATCGGAGCTAGAGAGAGGATGTCTGCCGCCGTGACGGACACTGACTTTGCACATTTTCATATCGTCAGTCCGTGAAGTCACTAAGGCGAAGTCCATGGCGCCGCCCTCCACGACTTCGTTCGTCGAGACGCTTGTCCAAGCTACCGACAGCGCGGCGGAAGAAAAGACCGTCTTGTCTATCTATACACATAGAACCTGACTCAAGCACCGGTGAAAACTTTCTCCTCGCTCTGTGTGGCTTCAAGGTCACTGAGCGCCGATGCCGCTTACGCAGCCGTCAGAGAATAAGACCTAATGTGCTGTGGTTTTTCCGTTTGCTGACCCACCGCCAGAGTTTCGTGACTTGGGCTACCGACCAATAGACTAGCTTAGTGAATGAGTGACAGTTCCGTTTTTGTAAGCGATTGTACAGCGATCTGCAGCGCGACACTGAACGTGTTTCTCGGAAGTGTTCCGGCTCTGATTATCCGGCGCCTCCCGAAACGATGGTCGCTCTCCGCGGGCATGACGTTCGGAGATTTTTTTTGCCCCGAAAAGCTCAGAATGGTCACTACCGAAAAAAATTTTCGGAGGAGAATGATCCGGCTGTTCGTCGTCGTCTGCAGTGTTCGTTTGCCGACCGACTGTTTGACGGCGCGCATTCATTGAAGGTTGCGCCATCTTTTACTGAAGTAGGTCAAGTTGAAAGTCCCTTGTTACAACTACACTTCGTAAGCGAGCTATACTTTGACTGCGACCTGATATTGTGACGTGGTGAAACTCTATGGGCGTTAAAGGATCAGGTGATACTCGCGCTCAGTCAGTCACGGTCTCCGATATCACGGAGACGCGGGAATCTCTCGCCTTGTTATCACCGCTCCCAGTGCGGATGAATGGATGACTGACTGACGAGTAGTTGTCGTTGAGTTGTCGAGCCTGGGAACGCTCGAGGCGATAATGATTGAACACAGCCTCCCTCGATTGGCGAGCATGAGATTCGAAGCCATTTATTCCATGGCAAATGTTCTGGGGACTGAATAAACTTCCATTGGAAGTTTCTGTACTGGAACTCGTCAGCGACGCGAATCTGAGGGATCTCGAATGATTCACCCATCGGAAGAATAATTCTCAACTTGTAACTCTCAATTAAGAATAATCTGATTCCCTCCTAATACACCGAAAGTTATCGGAAGAATTCAGTTATACCTCCCTTGTTGAGGTGAGGACGCCTGGCAGTGCTCGCTCGCTGCATTTTTCGCTTTCCTCCCCTCAAATCCTTGGACCCGTCGCTCCACATCTTTCGAGCGCTGTAAAATGGATCCAATGAATACCGTTGAGAAAGCTCCACCCTATCAGGGGGGCAATGGGCCTAATTATAGGAAATACAGCGCCGATAGGGTTCTGAGTCACATATGATCGAGAGCTGTACGACGAACGTGTACGGATCCCTCACGGATGCCTGATAGCCTTCCTCCGTTGTCCTCTCTGATCCGTCATCCGGACACTGTTAACCTTTCGGTAGCTTCCTTTAGCAAAGCTCCACCCGGGCCGGAATTCCTCACTATTGTGTTTTCCTTCCTTGGCATCGGGTACCGCGGTTATCAAGGATGTTTGCGGAGGATGCATTGACCGTGCACCGTCCCTGCCATCTCTCACTCAGCTCTTTCCCATTCTCACGAATCCGCGCCGAGATGAACTCCGCTCGACTAGGACTCCATGAGGCCAGAATTCCACCTCGCGTTGAGAGCAGCTCAAGCACGACCCGGGCGGTGTTCGAAGTCCTCTCTGTCGTCGTCTGATGAGTTTTGTTGTTACACAGAGCGATCGATTGTTTTATTGCTGACTTCTCCGAATCGAAGGTGGAGTCACCAGCAGAGAGTCACTACAAATTAAGCGATCAGGTGTTGACGACTCTGCTCTCGGGTCGGACATTCGTAGGCGCCCTTTTCGGTTTCGGAGTTTCCCTCGAGTATCTTCTTCGCTCTGGACGAGAGCCACGATCAATCCGCAGCGGACGGATTCTCGAGCGAGCGAGAAGTTGAGACGGGAGTCCGATTTGAATTTTGCGTTCCACGATGAACTAGTTTTGCGCGTCGATATTGCGTGAAGGAATCGCAGAGCCAAAAAGTGAAGAAAGAAGCTCGTGTCCGAGCCTCTCAACGATGCCGTACCCGGATGAAGCGCATCAAAATACACCGAATATTTCCGGCGTTGTATGTTTTCTGTGGATGATACTCCGACCGGATGGAAAGCCGTCATTTTGCGTGGGTCGTAACAACGGCTCATCTGCTGAATAGAATCAATTTGAGTTCACCGTGAAATCTTTTCGCTCACTTATCTCGGTTCTGCTCTCGGTATCATCTAAATGATGCGAGATGCGAGCATTCACTGGATAATGATATCCGGATCAGCTTCTCACGGGGCGATCCGATTCTCGGTGACGAAAAAGTTGGCCGTCGGAACATCGTGCGTCTACTCGTCGGGCAAATCGACTAGCAATGCCTCGGTCGTACTTCTTTCCGTTCAGTATGACCTGGATCGAGAGTAATATTTCACGAAACTCGCTGAATTCGTCGGGCAACGATTCGACACAAAGCGAAAATCTCCGACGCGACTCTCGTTCGTTACAAGAACTCATGCAACGCTCAACAAAGAATAACTCGGGTTTTCCCGCAGGGTGCTGCTAAAACGAGTGATTCACTAGCGTGAGCTTAGAAGGAGGGCTCTTTTCACGACTCTCGGCTCCTTTCACTGAGTATTCGCCCCGAAGAGAGAGACCAGATCGCCGTCGGCATCCCAATCAGTACCTGAATTGTCGACCGTGTACATGTATCAGAGATATACACCTTGAGGTGACTCAAGTCCATATAACTATCGTGACGAGCGCCTAATAGAAGTGGGTTCGGACTGTTCCGGATTATGCCTTTCGTTTAGGTATTTGGATCGCTACCCACCCTGGAACGATAATTCGTCATAGGGCCAGCAGCGACCTTATCACGGAAACGGTCTCCGCAGAGCATTCTCATATACTCCAATATATACGTAGGAAGGTTTTGAAGTATCGTGGTATAAGAGCATTCTCTGGGCGTCAAGGATTGCCGCCAAGATGATGTGTCGTTAGGTCAACGAAACTACCGGAGGTGAATACACGTTCAGGCGTACGAAAGGATGCTCGAATGGAGAGACACTCGACAAGTTCCGAAAATTCGACGTCAGCTCGAAGAAACCTGTGTCGCTGTTTGTTGAACAGTTTTCCTGACAGGATGGATATGTTATTTTCTTGACAAACACCACAGAAGCTGTCCGAAAGCCTGACTGTCTACCACAGCGATGGTGGTGGCTTCAATCGCCAAGTTGACACAGAAATGCTCTCGCGAGAGACGGAGGAAGACCAGCAGGTTCGATTTTTTGAAGGACCGAATTCTTGGAGGAGCGTTCGATGGACGGTCGAGGGAAGCATCACTGGATGATTGGCAGCTAAACGATCTGACCGCATTGTTTCACTCACTACAGATATAGCTAATGATGTCGAGGAAGCGAGAGTAGGGTCGACTCTTCGCTAAGTGATATTTCTTCATCTGGTGTGGTCAAATTTATTAATGGCTTTCGATGTTTCGTGACATCGAGCTGACGCGCAGGAACACGCTTTAGGCCGAGAGGATCACGATCTGCCTGAGAGTATTTTCTTCGTATATGTGAAGCGATGTCTGGCTGTATGACTGAATGACCGAACAGCCGAGTGGGTGGCTGGGCAGGCGAGCGGGCTGGCTCTGCGGTTCCGGAAGGTTTAGCGACGGTCTGGGAGGTTGATTTCGTCGGAATGATGACTTACTGGGCGGTGGACATCACTCAGAGTAAATGACGCAATGCAGAAGGAACACTCGTTCCGATGGCGGCAGGAGAATCCCCTACCTCGCGATCCACCATGTAGGACACGGAAGATCTCTTACGATTTCAGGCGCGATGGTTCTATCGTTCAAAAGAAAGGAGCCAGGATTAATGATCCGGGGAGCATTTCCAGTTTTTCCGGCCAGTTAAGGAGGCTGCTGGCTCCGCCTAGCCTGGTCGGAATGAGGTGCTCTAGTCGTTTCTCATCAACCGCGAATCGATGCTGCGAGCGTTCAACACCGCGCCCAAGAGACTCTGGTGCATCGGCCTGGAGGGCCTGTGGTCTTCGAAAGATGTCATTGTATAAGCTGTGACAGATAAAGCTTCCGGGACTTACGCTAGTCGCTCGAATCGCTGCAAATGAGACAAATCACTTCGGACCACCGAAACAGCCCGAAGCAAGAGAAAGCTCAGCTTTACATGAAGACTCCGAAACTATCCGAGCTCATGGCTTTGATGATCCCCGACTGGGGAACTAACCGGATCTCCCGAAGGAGACTTGGCATTTGACATAAC